TTAGGCTATTTTCACCTTACTCATTTATATTTAGATTTCTGTTTTGACTCTATAGGTCAGTTTTGGCAGGTGACAGATTTTCACTATGATGCTAACTACAGTGTGTCAGGCAACCCCCTGGATATGTGCCATAATGCTGCACCCTCACTGTTGGAGTCCCCAGTCATGGGGAAGTATGGGGATTACAAGTGTGACTCTCCCTGGCAGCTGGTACAGTCTGCTATCAGTGCAATGAAACAGATACAGCCAAAACCAGATTTTATCCTATGGACAGGGTAAGGCACCCTGAGCTTCAGAGATAACTTGACACTAACCTCTTCACTATAGCCTATCTTCATCGTGTCAAGTTACCTCTGACGAAAATAGTTTGACCTAGTTTATATAAGCCAATCGAATCCATGTTTCAAAATTTTTCACCAAAGTTTGGTGAAAACGCTGATTGGTTGACCGTCAATCGGCAATCCTCGGCTGATTCCGCAAGCTCCATACTAACAACATAGTTATTGTCGAGTGCGGAGACATCCGAGTAGTTCCGAGTGCATAACCGTACACAAAGAAAGCATGGAGTATATCGGAATTGAAACCAGAGCAGTTTGATGCCCTGCATAATTATCTACCAAGGGATGATGTATTTTGCGTGCTGCCCACAGGTAACGGCAAGTCCCTGATATTCAGCCTTATCTTTAATTGGTCCGGATTTGAACAAAGCGCGCTTTGACTCGTTCGCGTTCATTGGCTAGATCGTTCAATGAGTCATTGAGTGCGGGCTTTAAATTTGATTGGCGGGCGGCGGAGGCAATCGAATGTGGTCAGAGGTAACTTGACACGATGAAGATAGGCTATAGTGAAGAGGTAAGTGTCAAGTTATCTCTGAAGCTCAGGGTGGGGTAAGGAGATTCAGCAGCTATTTTTATGGATTAAATTGTTTTGGTTTGCATAATGTTTGATAATAAAGATTATTCCTTTCTGTTTGTTGATATTGAAATTGTCAATAATTTAATATTATGGCCATTAAAACCAAAGCAGACTAAGGCTTCATTCACATGCAATGTCTATTTTCTAAATTCTATTTTCTATTTGCGGTATGTCTTGTGATCACGGTCTGTGCCCTGAATATCCCGCGGCGTAATTACTGGCTCGCACTGCCAGTAATTACGCAGCGGGATATTCAGGGCACAGACCGTGATCATAAGATAGCGCGAATAGAAAATAGATTTTTAGAAAATAGACATTCCATGTGAACGAAGCCTAATTGTATTTTTAAGTTTTCGCATGTTGAAATCTGATATATGCAATAGAAGCAAAAAAAAAAGATTAAAATAATGATAAAAGAGTTGTAACAAACTAGTAATAAGATTAATATTTGATTTGATTTGTTAATTAAAGATCATATTTTTGTTGGTTCCTTGTAGCCAGACCTTACCATGATTTATCTTTAATGCAATATTATTATGATTTCAGTGATAGCATTCCACATATCCCTAACTCTGACCTGGACCTCAGGAAGATATACACTGTGATAGGCAATATAACCCTTCTCCTTCGTGACACATTCTCTAACATTACTATATATCCAACATTTGGAAACCATGACCCCTGGCCGTCAAACCAAATGTCTCCTCACACTGGTGATAGGTACTATGAAAATATTGCCAACATCAGTAGATGGGATCAGTTGCTGCCTACAGGAGCCATGAAAACATTTCTGAAAGGTAAGGTAGGGTATAAACATACAGACACTAGTTCTGCTTTGATATTCCATTAATGATACTTTTAACTGTCATAGTCTGTCTACAGCTGTTATAATTTTGGTTTAACAGAGCACACTGTAGTGAGGTTTAGTAATCCTTCATGTTCAAGATAGTGATGATCATTAGAGCTCAACATAAACTCCTTTCTGGAGATATTGTGTATCTGTTGACTAGCTTTGGTGTAAATTAGTGCTACATGTTCTTCCAAGTTAAGGTTTTGAGTAATAATAAGACTGGGTTTCACTCTTTCTATTGCATTGTCATTGATGTGCTTTATACAGCTGGGAGATGATGGCCTGCCTTAGTGAAATTAAGTATAATTTTTATTTTTTGTAGAATTAACAATTGTTGTCTGATCACCAGACTGCTTATTATTATTATCAGGAGGAGAGTTGGTACAAGTTTCATTTCTTGTGGTACTCCTGCTTGAATGTTTAGTCTGTCTGAACTTTTTTCCCATAGGAGGGTACTACACTGACATTCTGTGTGCGGGTCTTAGCTTAATTAACCTAAACAGCCCACTGTATTACCACAGTAACAAGTTGGTCAGTGGCATCAAAGATCCTGCTGGACAACTGGACTGGCTCAGACAGACACTGGAACAAATTAAAAGCAGGAATGAAAAGGTAAATAATATTTGACTTTTGTTTGGTAGTACAGTTTGGATCAGTAAGTAAAGGTAAAATGCGGTGTTATTTTCTGTACTGTCCATGAGCTTCAAATCTGCTAAAAAATCTTATTACCTTCACATTTGTCACAGGCTTTGTGTGATGTCACATTATTACCCCAAGAAAACTTTGAATAAGCAGTACTTTATGTTTACAAGATGAGACTTAGATCTTTATCTAAAACCTTTCCCGTTTACACTGTTTATGTTTTATACTGCCCTGGTTAACCACTTTATAGTACTATTCACATTTCACTTACTGCAATATTAATGCTTTAATATGTGCACTGTATTATAACTTTGTTTATTATATATAACCCTTGTTATTTGATGTATTGCTTGTTTGGTCATGGTCATGCTTATTATCTGCTAGTATCATAAAATATAATAATATGTATTTTGAAATGGAATACAGCTGTGAAGCCAACCTCTAATATTAATAATATTAATAAATTGCATCTATTTTCTTAATAACAGCAGGTTACTCCCATGCAAATGTATTCTAAATCCTGCTGACTGTTTCCAGGTGTACATAGCATCCCACATCCCACCAGGCAGGTTTGGCAGGGTGGCCAATATCTCTTGGTTCTACCCATACTTCAACAAAGCTTACTTGTCCATACTTCAGGAGTACAAGGACCTCATAACGGGTCAGTTCTATGGCCATGAACACACTGATGGGTTTAGAGTCACATATGATGATAATGGTAAGTCAGTTATGATGGCATAATGAAGGTTAGGTATTATACTAGTGGATATGAAAGCGGGATATTTCTATGAAGTCATAAAATAATGTGCCATGAAAGCAATACAAAAGAAATTTATTAAAATAAGGAAAAGATTGTCTTGGTAGAAATTCATGAAATGGGAGGTGCTCAGAACTGTAGGTGCACATGGTGAGGTTGAGCTGTTATCACTCTTCCTTGGTTTGGTTTTTATGCATTGCTAGAGGATGAGAAACATTTCTTCCTCACATGTAGTAAATACCAAATAGAGCGACAAAATATGCTCAGTTCCCTCCCAAACACTGTGAGACAAAATTATGAATTAGCAGGCAGTGATCAGAAACTATTCATCCTCCTCAACCCTCAAGATCAGAAATCACTAAAAGCATTATCACAGTATATACAGTTAGCAACACGATGAAGTAGCACTTTCTCTTTTTATGTAAGCACAATATGGTAGATTCTGTAGTAGACTAGACAGCAAACAATGTTAAATTGTAACATTCAAAGCTGAATAAATTATTATTATTATTTTGAAATGGAATACAGCTGTGAAGGCAACCTCTATGTTAGACAAGTAATTCTCTCCTCAATCACTAATGATAATTGTTTTGAAAATGTGTTGTTTTACTTTTGTACATGGTCAATTTAGATATACTTTAGGGTTGTTTTTCACGTACTAAAGAGAGGTGAAAGATTTTTATATGCACTGTTGATCATAAGAATCTGTTTATATTATGTTTACAAAGTGAAGAGTTTTAAGTCGTGAAAATGTATGTATCATTTGGTTTCTGTGACAAAGCAGTACAAACATTGTAATGATTATTTTTTGATCTTCCAGGAACTCCATATGGCAGCATGTTCCTGAGCCCAGCGGTGACCCCCTGGAACAGCACTCTACCAGGTGCTGGTTACAACAATCCATCCATACGATTATATCATTATGACAGGAACTCTGGGCAAGTACTGGACTACTTCCAATATTTCCTCAACCTCACTGCTGCTAACACTGATGAGAAGGCTAAGTGGGCTTTGGAATATCAGGCTACCAAAGCCTACAGCATAGATAAGGTAACAACAATGTCACTGGTGCAGTTAGTGAACAAACTTAAGGCCTCTGGTTCGGGCCTGTTTGAGAAGTACTATGTTTACAACTCTGTAAGTGTGGATCCTGAGAGCACCTGCTCTGGGCAGTGTAAGAAGAACCACATGTGTGCAATCATCGCTGTGGATTATGAACAGTATGACAAGTGCCTTGCAAACATGACCTCTATTGGTGATGATGACATATGGCCTCCGCACCCTCCCCATCCGCCCCTGCATCCTCACCATCGTAAAGCTCCAAAATACATGCTGTACATCATTATAGCAATGGCTGTGGTTGTGGTAGCCATTTTTATTCTGATAGTGTTGCTTTGTCTAAGAAACACTGGCACAGCACCGGTTACTTTTAGGGGACATGTACCAAGAATGCGTCATTCTTCTAAATCTAGATTAAGATCATCTAAATCTAGATCAAGGTCACGGTCAAGATACTGCCGTGTGAATTCTGAAGGCTATGATAGTAGTGTTCCCAACAGCCCAGTCCCTCATGACTAGCACAGCAGTGTTCATTTAAAGTAGGACTGTGCATGACATTCATGAGGTGCAATAATTAAAATACAAGTTACAGGATCATCACTTGTTTCAGAAAACTGAATGTGACTGTTTCCCTCTCAGCAAAAGCATTAGTTGTGATGTAAGTTGCCAGTATATTCTGAATCCTAGGATGTCCATTCTGTAATAGTATGAGTGACGTTCAAAATATTTTCAGCATAAAACCTGCTTGTGAAGTTTCCTGTGTAGGATAAATTTCTGTCTTACATTGAAAAATTGGGATGCAGTAATTATTTAAAAGGGATGGTGGTTAAGAAGCCATCGTACACAATTACAATAACTGTTGGGGATTTTGATAAGTTCTGATCCTCTATACTGTTTCTGTCTATTTCCTTTCATTAATATGATCAGTCTGGGACTGCAGGAGTGGTTCATTGTCTTCCTGTTTATTGATAGTTGCACAAGCACAAGTATATTTGCAGTTAAAAAATTTAAGCATATGGCAAAGAAATCTTGCTTTGATAAAAATTAGTCAAAGCTGCTCAGGTGGGAAATGATACTTGGCTCCCCATTTTGTTCTTTAATTACTGCATTTGAGCCAACTTATTATTATTATTATTATTATTATTTAAACCCGGGTTTAGTAAAAAAACTTGAGGAGAATTCTTTGTTACATTGTAAAATGTGTTTTAATTATTATTTTATTTTATATTGTTTTGGACAGCCAATGCAATACAAGTATCACTTGTTACTCTATCTTGCCAAGATATGCATACAGGAGATATACCTGATATTGTAGACTGCCCTAGATACCCAAGGAAATCAAAGTTTGAGTGTTGTTGTGTGTCATGAAATCATGAGGTGTATGAGTCAGTGCATGCTGATCTTTTGGCAAATTCATGGCTGTGTACTATGGAAAATGGTGCATGACTGTCATTATTGATGAATTGAAAAAAACGTTCATTTTGGATTACATAATATTTAAATTACTAATTTTGTTATTTGTAATTAGAGGTGATTGTTATGAGTCTTTTTTCTTATTGCAAAGTTATTGTAATTGTAACAAGGAGAAAATTTATAATTTAAGTTTCTCTTTGGATTGTAAAGATTTTCCTTTCTCAAATCAAGAAATGATATATTTGGTCCTTATTGACATAATATATCTTTAATGTTGAGTTCTAGCAAGTTATCACACGTCCTGAAAAACTAATGATCACTTCTAGAATTTTCATGTTGTTCTCTTTTATGTTCATGGTGTTAAACACATTCAGTAGAGTAGCAATATTAATGTTAATTCACATAAAATATACAATTCAAATATATCCATCTTGTAACTATTATATGTAATCAATGGACCCAACTCAGGGGAGAGAGGGAGCAACAAAAGCTAATTTTCTGCCTATACCCTGTGAAACACTTGCCTGCTTCACTGGACATGTAGGTTTGCATGGTTGTGTTTACATGTACACTGTATCCCAGGCCATGACTTGTTGTAAGTACTTGCTCAAATAAGGTGGTTCTATTTTGTGCATAGGTTAAATTTTAGTTCTCACAAATTGTTTCAAATCGTAAGATTTAGTTGGGATTGTTTTACAAAATTCCTATTTTTGTCTATACCAAGGGGTGGGTATATTTTGGGATTTGGTTTGTACCAAAAAGAGGAAAATTTATTCTATAATTGATGGAAGGGTACTGTGATATGGCCCATATATAAAATATTTTCCCTGTTTTCTCGTGTCAAGATGGTAACATAGGAAAGAGTGGCTCTCTTAGGACTTCTAATGTTATCTTATGTTTTCAATTTTATCTGGATATTTATGTTAGAAGACTTCTGATCTTATATTGGGGATACAGTATTTGGGGTTCCTCTATTTTATTCCATAAAGTGACAGTTTGTTGTTTGTAAATTTATTTATTTATTTATTTATTTATTTATTTATTTATTTATTTATTTTGTGTTAAATATTTTTGTTATATTTTCCAATATCCATAATTTGTTTTTCTTAAGCATATTACATAAAGAAATTGCCACCTCTGACCAAAATCTGCATTTTTACTCAAAATTCCAAATGCAAAGAATATATATGTGTAAAACCCTTCACATGGTAATTCCAAAGTTTAGAAAGGATGTCCAAACTTTGCATTTATGTTACAGGATATTTTCAAGTTAAGGATTCAATTGAGCTTTGCAAGTTTCTATAATAGAAAATTAGCATTTATACTGATATTGATTGTTTGTTTTTTAATACCTAAATCTCAAAAATGGTCTCTGAATTATTGTTATGAATATTTTGACAGAATAAAATTTTGTTATATCCCAATGGTCTTCTTACATATACATGTGTGTATGTGTGATTTGTTAACAGGATCTGTATAATCTTCAGGGGTGTGTGATTGATGTTATCAACTCTTCTTAAATGAAAATAGTGATGATTTACAAATCAAAATCTCAATAAATGATACAATAAAACTGTGTAGGTTTCTTGTATGGGACACTTTTTAGTGTTTTTTATTACAAAATCCTATCAGTTTTTTTCCAGGTAATGGAGGCAACAATTAGTGGGTCTTAAAAAATCAAATGTGGAGCTGCATCTTCCATATTTCATGTCAAGTAAAGGCCCACTGAAAATAATGCTAGTGTTGCTGTTTTCTTATCAAAGATAATGAATCGGTGTTTGTAAAGGATTTGTATGATCATTTTTCCTCTGATGACTTCTTTCTGCAACCTCATTTCATTTATTTGTGTCTTTATGATTATGACATTTGCTGGTATATTATACCATGTCACTAGAGCAGCCAGGTTGTAGGCACATTATGGAAGTTTATGAAGGATGAATAATCAATACTATCTCACACCACAACATCCAGTAATGTTTAACTGCACTAGATGGCTAGACTTAAAGTCATGTACATAATACTAACATCGTCATTTAAAATGATGAACTGGCAAACCATTTTCTTATCTAAGACTCATTTTAACTGCTCTAGATGCCTAGACTTATAACCATGTTCATAATACTAACATTGTAATTTAAAATGAACTGGCAAACCAGTTCCCAAAACATTTCTGGTCTTGGACTTGTTTTAGATGGGTAACCCAAGGGTGTTTTTTCTCCCAAGCTATGACATATTCAAGTTTCTCTTATTTAAAAATATTTTAGAATTTCTTTCTGGAACTTGCTGTATTTAAAAAAAATGTATATATATATATAATATATACATATTGTTCACTGATAAACATTTCATAGCTTCAGATTTGGCAATATTATTTATAATGTGATCTTCAATTTGTTTTTGTGCTAAATTATTAAAACAGAAAGGTTGTGCCTTGTAAAACATGCTTTGAAAAAATATCACTTTTTACTCTGGTAAGTGATTTCTCATTTCTCTGCAGCTGGTCCTAAAAAAAGTGGCTAAATCCTGTGTTACTTTATTCCATATCTTTGAATATAGGTTAATAGCCATGTATCATGTAGTAGCAGCTTCCCTTCTGCTCGAGACAAGATAGATTTGTTATTTATTAGTTGTGAATCATACACCCATCATTTCCAAAGCCCACTCAAAGATCATTTTCTAGAATTTTATGAAATACAAAATACATAAATGATGAGAGGGAGGACTTTAATTCTGAAATAGGGACACACTTCAATATCTAGCTCTTACATTTGTTTTATTTTTTTATTATTTTTTTTTAACTTTGAAAATGTCATAATGTTATAAAAAGTAAGTACAGTATATATAAGAAATATGTCACAGGATTATACCATTATAAGTTTGGTAAGTTGTTGTTTTAGCCTTGCCATAATTGGACTGAAATTTTCCCCAGCCCTTTCCCACTTTCTCACTGAAAACTGAATAACGCACAATTCAAAGTGGATAACAGAACTGGATTGAAATGTGTGACATATGAATGCATGTTTGTAGTGGCAGTTTTAAAGCATTTTGTCCTCATTTGTTAAAAGAGGGAAGTAGCACATGTTTACATTCCAGAGCATCTTGCAAGGAACAAACTGTAACCAAGTTAGCAAACACAGTCACATTTAATTTTACATTTAGCAAATTCCATTGTACATTAGTTCTCAGAAATAATTGTTTCGTACTTTTGAAAAAATAGCACCGATATTTAAATTGAGTAGTACAAATGCCATAGTAGTTCACCAAATTAACTCTTTACCAAAAATGCTTACTACATGGCAAAGTGTTTAATACAACTGTTACAGATTTAAATGTAAATTTGGTGAACTAGGGCCTACCACAAGGTCACAACATTATGCCAAACTGAACTAATAGCCACAAATATATATGACAGAAAAGGGAAAAATAACAAGCAGCCAGCAAAAGAATGCAGTTTACTGTTATCTGGGCAGGCGTGGCCTGTCAAACTTCATGATTCACTGCCATTTTGGCATTCGATAAAAATAGACCCCACTGGTTTTGTTCCCTTCCTGACTCAAAAATTCTCAGATCATGCCTTGTTATTTCTACCAAGACAGTACTTTGATGAATATTCTTAAGTATATAATTTAAAATGAAGAATTCATGCAGAATAAAAAAGTGCACAAATGAGACTAGAAACAGCATATTAATACGATAACATATTGAACCTCTGATGTCATGAATATTCCAGCTGTTGAAAATATGTAGTCCCTGTACTGAACTGTTCTCTTTACACTGTGAGTCAATGATAATCACAGTGCTTCTGGGACTAATGGCTCCCTAAATCACAAGAAACAAGCTGAGCAAGTTATAATCCAGTCAGTCTGACTCATGCCTAATATCCAATATCAAGCATTGTACATTGCATAGACTGATCCAGGGTAGCACAGGATACACAAGGTCCCACCCCTTAAGCCCATTTTCTTGCTTGCAAATATGACAAAGTCTAGTGGGCAAAATTTTTTCAAACCACCATTTCCCCTTAGTACATTCCTGGATCTGTCATTGCTATATACATTCTACAGTCAAGGTATGGGTTGGTGGTAGACATATGCCTGGAGATTGTCAAATAATGATTGATACATTTATACACCAAACCATTTAAGTTCCTTCAAAAACTGAACATCTTTGGCAGCACATTTTATTCCATCTCGTCCCTTGACTGTGTGAGGTTGCTCCCAGTGATGCATGGTGATTATAACAGTCATTGAATTTATGACTCAACATATAATAGGTCTCTTGAGGAGAGAACTGGTTTTTCATGCATTCCCACAAACAAATGTTGTAGCTGGGGGTCAGAGTGGATCACCATGGTTAGTTTCCTTCAAGGTCACCAAGGTCAATGTTTTTAATGTTCTAGTAATGTAAGCTGTTTTTGTACACTTCAGTTGAGCTCCTGTGCTGAGATATGGATGTGATATGCCAACAGAGAGAGCTGCTGTATGAGCAACTTAAATCTTCAAGAACATGCACAGTCTTCTTAAGGCAGTGAACAATGACATTTTGTAATAAAAAGACATGATCAACAATATATAGGTTACAGCTGCATTATGTTGCAAATATTGACTCCATTCATTTTCTTCCTTAAAAAATTTGTTTTATGCTACAAAATAGTGCAACATTTGTTATCCTTGGATTTCTTCTTATCAGTTGGAGTTTCACCCTCTTCTCCTTCTTTCTGTTCCTTTGGCTCGGATGGCGACTGATCGCCTGCACCTTTAGGAGCCCCTTCCACATTTTTTGTTGCTGAAGGTTGAATGGTTTCTTCAACATTACCATTCTCCTTTAATTTAATGTCCTCTGGATTTGCTACATTGTCTTCTGAGGGCTCATTGTCAGTAGGTTCGGGACCCTCATAACTTTCATTCATTACATAATGTGTGGTTTTGGTGCCTCCTGGGGATTCACGAATAATCACTTTTTCTCTCTCTATGGTTGACGCTTTGAGCATAGATTCTGCTTCATGGTATAGATCCCCTTCAGGTATGAAAGGGTTGTCACGACTTTCAGTACTAGAAAAAAGGGAAAGAAGAAAATCAATAAATATTGAATATAGTAAAACCATGATTTTATTTATTTGAAATTGAAAAAAATTCCTCATTACTTAATTTCAGTGAAGTGTGCATATCAGCATACTCTATTGTAATGCCTGTAATTTAAAGGTCTCCATCCATTGTAGATAAAGTGTTTTTCATGAATTTTTATTGGCGGACACTGTGTTTGGACATTTCGCCAATACCTGTATCTGCTGTCATCATTAACACCATAAAATACTTCTCATTAACATCATAAATAGAAAACCATGTTATTCATTGTTATCAAATGTATACAAATGATTCAGAGGACTATTATACTTCTCCAGTTCAAATACTATTATACTTCTCCAGTTCAAATCAAATTGAAACAGTCTGATTGAATTGTTCAACTTGAAGTTATGAGTTTTTTTAGCCTGCATTTTTCTTTTTCCATCACTTAGCATTTTCTAGGTGTGGCTTTGAATTCCCATGGGTCTAAAGCCTCTTCAAGTCTATTTTTCTGAAATATCTGCAGTAGGTGGTACATAATTTAAAATTGGTGGTGATTATCCTGTTAAGCATTAAATATCGCATAAAAATTGACAAAAATACATTTTGTTCACTTTCATTAATACATTAGTTGTTTATCATTTTTAGACTTTTTATGATACTGCTTCTATCAGTTTGTCATTCATGTATCTTGACATATGACATTTCTGTTGCCTTGTTTGTTTTATTAATAATTAATTTAAAAGAGATGATTGATGGATAAGAAGTAAATTGCACAAACTTTCATAATTCAAAACACTTCACCTTTGGTTTTATATTTCCATCAACATTAGAATTGAAATTTAATGACAAAGATTTTACCTTCACATTAAGTCTAGAAAAATAAGTTTATTTATGAAAAATTCTTGATCCCTCTGTAGCTCCACTGTGTACTTGTTATTGTGTGGGTGTCCCCTGGAAACACGATATATGCAACACTCTTGACTTCTTTTAAGATTCCCATCCACCTCAGGTAGCAATACTTTCATTGTCTAGTCAAGAAATCAAACCTGTTTCTATTCAATCGATTGAGTAAAGTGTAGCAATTCATACAATCACCGATTAACATTTAGTGTCAAAGCATTATTTAAGTCCTTTTTGCTTGACAGACCCTAAAAAAAGATTATCAAAGGCAGCAGGCTGATAAGATAAGCAATGCGGGTCTCTGGTTGTATGGGAAGAATACTGGAGTTGTTTGGTTTAGCTAATGCATGTGGATAGCTAATCCAATATAGAATTGCTGCATATTGGGGACTGCAGACAGAATCAATAACAGTGTCAAACAAGCTTCTCTTCCCAGCATTGGTGAGCTAAGGGCAAGATGTGGTGAATTGTAAAAAATGTAATGCACTTAATGGCTTGCAGGTCATATAGGAAGTCTTGAAATTGACTGGGTTCACTATTTCCTGGAGTTTCTTTTCATAGGACCTACTTCATCTTTTTCACTCTAAGCCCAACAGCTGCAACCCCCTTCTTCTTCCAGTGACTTAGTACCACACGAAGTTTTAATCAGAATTATCACCTGGATACACATATAATATTTGTCCATATAAACATGACCTCTAGAGAGTGAATGCCTTAATGTTTTGTTGAACTTTTTGTATGTCAGGTTTTAATTTAATGACATATGTCCAAAGTACTGTATGAAAAACTGAATATATATTAATCTCAATCTAAAAAAATTCAAGTGCATTTTGTATCAGGCAATAAAGATTATGTGACATAGCTGTATATGCAGTGACAATTAATTGCCTGATGGACATGTTGACTGCCAGTTCATATTTTAATGATTGATATGAATGAATTAGTTAACACAACCAAGGGATGCATCTTTATCCATCTGCATGGTTCACAAGTGAATGATATCATTAAATATAATTGGACCTATATCTTCATTTACTTAATATAAGCAGGCTGAGTTATCATTGTGATAGAAAACATGTTTGTATATCACACGTTGATATGATAATTTTATCAACCTGATTTAGTAGCAACAGAGCTTGTATTTAAAACTTTCCACCCCACCACTGAAGTATCAGTGTAATAGTAAGTGGTTCAATATCATGTGATATGCACTGTATATACCTGTACTAATAATGTGAGAAAAAGAGCAACACTTTGACCTTCCACTTTTACATCGGAATATGATACATGTGAGTAGAAGAGAAAGGGGTTCTGAGGAGAATTCCTGCCACCTCAGCCATGTTACAAGAGCTTCTGAGAGAGTGGGCACAGAGCCAGCAACATAGCTGCAATCTGGTGAATGTAATGTCATTAAAACAAACCCAAATACAATCCTACTGGAACACACACGGCCAGCAGAACTACCAGCAATTGATTTTCCAATATAGAGCAAATCTAAGAATTCCTTAGAGAATGACAGTAGATAAATACACTATTCTATTTCCATATTGACCTGGGAAAACTGCCAGGCTTCAACTGCGCAGTTCAGTGCAATGAACTATAAAAGACATAGAATATTTCATATTCCAAGCAATGTGAAGTATGTACAGACGAAAACATTCGCCCAACATTTTTTAGCATTTGAAAACAGATTGCATGTTATTCAGTTCAACCCCAGTTAATGGTGGTATCAAATAGTAATCTTATAATTCTGCTATGAAAATTCTCAAGAGCCTGTCATTGATGAGTGTTAGACTTGGGGGATTTTTTTAAGTACCCATATATTTAAAAGGGCAGCACAAATGATTACTTGAAATCACAACTCAGTTTCTATCGCGCATCAACCTACCTCATGATCACTTTGATCCTGTACTGAGGATGCTCAGTTTCTTGCATGTAATCTAATTTGAACCCAGCAGTAAAATGTGTAGTATACATGTGTGTTATATGCATTAAATTTCCAGGTAAGTACAGGTAAGAGGTAGTATGTAGGGCACATGTGTTTGTAATCATCACCCAGATTCCATATTACACTCATAGATGATTTACACATGTGAAGAAAATAGATATAAGGACCATTAGAAAAGCCTCACTGGTAACATTCTATTAACAGCTTTGTGGGTGTAAACTGTAAAGTTAACTGTGCTTCTGTTAAAGCTCAGAGCACAAAAAAAATGAAACCTTTTTATGTTGACCTTTCTGTGAACATTAAATTAGGCACAACCTAAGGCACCTGTCAAACCATCATGCAGCTACAACAGTGCACTGACTGCTGGACCCAGCCTCTATGTTTGAAATAGAAGCGGTTTTCGAAATGTAGGCATCTGAAATTAATGCATTTTTCCTATCTCAATGCTGAGAAGCATTCAGCCTTAGCCTGACTGCTCAAATGATTTACCTTGCCTGCCTATCTGACCTTCTGAATTGAACGCCATAGCAGTGAGAGCAATATACGAGTATACATTTTCCACCATCTCTGCTGCCATCAATCTACACAGCAGCCCTCTTGCCTATTGACATACTTGCACAGAAAACACAGAAGAGATATATTTGCTGTAAAAAATGCCCTCTCTCAGCCTCTGCCAGACTTACCTGACAAACTCTTGTTGTACATGGATTTCAGTCATGTTTTGTTTGAACAGCTATTCCTATTGCAATGTGTATTATCTTGCCCCAGCTTTAACAGTTACTTCCTACTCTGTGTGTGCAGCAGACTAGGTCAGCCTTCTATACACAGCTATGCATAATGTTTTCCTCACAGGGGCGTGACTACTTTCAATGCAAATTTATAGCTAAATGGCTACATTTCACAAAAGCATACTCAGTGGTTCTCTGCTAAATTGTTGGCATGATTTATTGATTGTTTCTGAAGGTGCTTTCATTGTAAGTGTGCTTGAAAAGCAAGTAAATTGTTAAGCTGNAACATAGCTGCAATCTGGTGAATGTAATGTCATTAAAACAAACCCAAATACAATCCTACTGGAACACACACGGCCAGCAGAACTACCAGCAATTGATTTTCCAATATAGAGCAAATCTAAGAATTCCTTAGAGAATGACAGTAGATAAATACACTATTCTATTTCCATATTGACCTGGGAAAACTGCCAGGCTTCAACTGCGCAGTTCAGTGCAATGAACTATAAAAGACATAGAATATTTCATATTCCAAGCAATGTGAAGTATGTACAGACGAAAACATTCGCCCAACATTTTTTAGCATTTGAAAACAGATTGCATGTTATTCAGTTCAACCCCAGTTAATGGTGGTATCAAATAGTAATCTTATAATTCTGCTATGAAAATTCTCAAGAGCCTGTCATTGATGAGTGTTAGACTTGGGGGATTTTTTTAAGTACCCATATATTTAAAAGGGCAGCACAAATGATTACTTGAAATCACAACTCAGTTTCTATCGCGCATCAACCTACCTCATGATCACTTTGATCCTGTACTGAGGATGCTCAGTTTCTTGCATGTAATCTAATTTGAACCCAGCAGTAAAATGTGTAGTATACATGTGTGTTATATGCATTAAATTTCCAGGTAAGTACAGGTAAGAGGTAGTATGTAGGGCACATGTGTTTGTAATCATCACCCAGATTCCATATTACACTCATAGATGATTTACACATGTGAAGAAAATAGATATAAGGACCATTAGAAAAGCCTCACTGGTAACATTCTATTAACAGCTTTGTGGGTGTAAACTGTAAAGTTAACTGTGCTTCTGTTAAAGCTCAGAGCACAAAAAAAATGAAACCTTTTTATGTTGACCTTTCTGTGAACATTAAATTAGGCACAACCTAAGGCACCTGTCAAACCATCATGCAGCTACAACAGTGCACTGACTGCTGGACCCAGCCTCTATGTTTGAAATAGAAGCGGTTTTCGAAATGTAGGCATCTGAAATTAATGCATTTTTCCTATCTCAATGCTGAGAAGCATTCAGCCTTAGCCTGACTGCTCAAATGATTTACCTTGCCTGCCTATCTGACCTTCTGAATTGAACGCCATAGCAGTGAGAGCAATATACGAGTATACATTTTCCACCATCTCTGCTGCTATCAATCTACACAGCAGCCCTCTTGCCTATTGACATACTTGCACAGAAAACACAGAAGAGATATATTTGCTGTAAAAAATGCCCTCTCTCAGCCTCTGCCAGACTTACCTGACAAACTCTTGTTGTACATGGATTTCAGTCATGTTTTGTTTGAACAGCTATTCCTATTGCAATGTGTATTATCTTGCCCCAGCTTTAACAGTTACTTCCTACTCTGTGTGTGCAGCAGACTAGGTCAGCCTTCTATACACAGCTATGCATAATGTTTTCCTCACAGGGGCGTGACTACTTTCAATGCAAATTTATAGCTAAATGGCTACATTTCACAAAAGCATACTCAGTGGTTCTCTGCTAAATTGTTGGCATGATTTATTGATTGTTTCTGAAGGTGCTTTCATTGTAAGTGTGCTTGAAAAGCAAGTAAATTGTTAAGCTGGTCATTTTGATGTTTTGATAAATTATGTTAATGTTTTGATTACTTTAAGTAAGAATATCAAATATCTGCATGTCAATGCAGCATTGAAATCAATCAGGTCAATAAGATTACCAAGATGATGGATTTTTGTGTTTTTTGAGTGAGTAAAGAAAAAGTAGTAATACCAGTAATTAGCGAATAAAAAATTCATTCCTGTCAAAAGAAAGCTAGCTAGCTGTATTTATGTTTCTACATCAATATTATTATTATTGTCAGCTCAGCTGATGTCGGATTGTTCTTTCTTTTGATATTAGCTGCAGAATGAAAATCCAAATATCTTTTTAAGTCAGTTTTGTTACCCAAAGATAATAATTACTATTAATAGTTTGCTCTTTGAAAAAGATTAGCTTAAACATTTTATATTTCATGAAATGTTTTTCTGAAATGTTTTGTACCGCATTTTATTTTTAATTGTAAAAAGATTGTGATTGCAAAAATGCTTCATAATGATAACATCATTTGATAAGCAGTTCAGACCTATTTTTAGATTAAGTAGTGGGTGAAAAATGCCATGTTAGTGAGAATACTTGTTTTGTGAGGATTAAAAACAATATGGTTCATGCCGTTAATTAGTGTTAAACAAGTCTCGATCCTGTCATACCCTGCTAAATAATATGAAATAAGAGGACTTAAGATTTTAAATATGCACATTTTTCCAGAAAAATATAATTTGACTAAAAGAGAATGATTCAACTGAAACCAATGATTAATTTCCATGTAGACTGACTGCCCTTTACTTGCAACCCATATTTAGTGACACTGGTGCAGTAAAGTTTTCCATTACCATTCTAAATAAGGGTTTTACCTATTACCTAATCAATAAAAAAGTCTCTAACTGACAATCAGTATTGTCACTGTACCAGAAATAACATAGTTTGGTAATCAAGGGTTTAAACAGATATTGCAATTCTCGTTAAAATAATTCAACTTGTAGGAAAGCTTGGGATACTGGTGTGCATAAAAGCTCTTGGGAAAATAAAAGATAAAATGGTATCAAAATTTTTATTTTGAAATTCCATATTTAACCTATTGTACTCATTATTTCTACAATGGAGCTGATTATCTGACCATTAAAAACACTAACTCATTAACCTTATTGACATTAGCTGTTTATCAGCAGGTACATGTACATGTATGTTAAATAATACCTAGGCTCATAACGTTGTTGCAAATAACAACAACAAAATAGCATATGCCTGCCAGAAGCCACATAATGATGAAAGGTAAAGATCAAGGTTGCATTATTTGCCAACACACTTGCAAACAACATGCAGAAAGTGTTTGTGGTGGTGGGGGTATATATTTTTTGCAGCTTTATGAATAATTTTCAGTAGTTATTTACAGGTAAATGGTAAGGAGATAATGCTAATTTGCTGTGTTTGTGTGTATGTTAATATGCAAAAACTGAATAAAAATATAATGAAGAATTATACATTTATCTGTTGTTGAATTATTATTATTATTATTATTATTATTATTATTATTTCAAAGTACATTCACAGAATGGTAAGGTTGTCTTATGTTTCAGCACTGAATCTCAGGGCATTTTTTCATTTATATTATTCATTTATAGTATTCATTTCATATTATAATATTCTACCAGTTCTTGCATATTTGTAGAACCAGAAGTGAACATTAAACACATTATTGCTGTAGTTGAGATGAGACATTCTAGTTCACAACTGAGCAATTGAGTTGTTCTGTGTGGTTTTCAATGTTTCTGTTGTAACTGTTAATAAAAGGAAAATCTTGAACTGTAGACAAGATATATAGTTTTATTATATAAGGTAAACAGTTATTTTAGACAGAAGAGGACAGCTGAGCCACCCACCTTTGTGACCTTGGTATCTGTGTTCTTGGTTCTGGTGTCTCCCAGTAGACTTCTGATGATCTGTTGGAGGGGCATGGACTGGGAGGCTGGATTGTAATCATTGGGTGGGCCTGCAGCATTTGTTCTGCAAATGTAACCCTTGTTACTGGCTTAGCTGCCGGCTTGCTTGGGATCTGATACATGCTGTCATTTCTGAAAAAAAAAAACAGAGGGTATTCACTCTGTTATTGTGCAATTTAAACCTACTGTTACAGTAATCAAATTCTGTTATATTATGGAAGTATTGGCAGCAGCAAAGTATGCATATTAATGGGCAGACCTATAGTTTTAAATACAGCAGCACCTGTACATATAATTGCCATCACCTGTGTGTGGGAGTGGGTGTATCTGAAGTGGAAGCCAGCCCCAGAGCCATGCACATTTCCTTTTCAGCTAGGACTGGAACCAAATTTTTATTGGGTCACTTTCCCAAAGATCAGCTTTAATGACACCAGAAATGTAATACACATTAGCTATGGATTAAGGTTTTGACAATACCACTTTATTATTAATTATATAAGTAACAAGATAAAGTCTCATGAGGTTGGTGGATAATTTCAACCAAATCAAAATGTAAAATTGATTTAAAGATAGATTTTGCAAAAAAAAATCTAAAAATGTTTTACATTGTCTTTAGCAAAATAGGAATATGTTTACCATATGACTAAAATTTGCTCTCCTAGACTATTATGACTTTATGCAGTGGGTGGGGAGTTTGTGGTTAAAAAGTAAGAGCTAAATAGACTAAATAAATGATAATAATAAAGTATAAACAGATGTGTGTGAATATTGATTATATATCCATCCTGGCTTGGTATAACAACTAATATTTTGGCAATTTGCACATCATATGAGAAGAATCAGTCATATATGTTGATGGAGTGGTACATACCACAAACAAAGATACATTCAACATGAACTTGAACTAAAATACTGAAATCAAAAATTAATTGATTGATAAATTATTCAATAAATGATAAATGAATTAATTAATTATAGGATATGGACCATTAAATTTCCTTCTGAACTCCCAGGTTGATCAGTATTATCTTTAAATATTCCTGGTATATTTATTCTGATATAATAACAAATATCCATACCTGGGGCTGTTTTTGAAAGGTATTCCAATATATTATATTGAATTTCTACAGAATTCAGAACATCCTACCCAGGCACGGCAGATATTTCATTATCATTGAACACTTAATCATGGCAGTCAGTAGAAAGGAGTGAATTTAAGTATAATATACTATTCTTGTTTCCTCGTGTATCTTGGACCCCATCCTGCCATTAGCTTGATTATAAAACAAATCTTTCCAGAGCCCTGGCTCTCCGGAGGATCACAAAATGCATGTATAGACAAAAACAGGTGGACCACAGGGACAGTTTAACCGAGGGTATGTGTTAAATATAGAGATCCCAAAGAGAATTCCCAATAAAACTGAAATGATGAAACCATTTACCTTAAAATGTATGCAGGAAAATAATTTGCAACTGTTTGATGGAGTATTTCTGTTCACTGAGGAACACTAAAACATTACAAGTAACAGATATCATAAATCAGGAGCAAACAGCATAATGTTTTATGGGACATTCCCAATGAGTGGGATCAGTCAGTATCATATTTTAACATTGGAAAAACAGCTGTAGATTGTTTCCAGTGGTATCTATACCGCTTGAAGATAAAACTTAATTGCCAATGGCTGATTTTTTGTCAGACCAAGACAACCAATAAGTTTTCTTAATATCACATGGTAAAAACCAAGACCATTTCCACTATATATTACAAATATCCAGGGCATTCACCAAATGTTACATGTATCCAGGATATTTACACTTTTTGTTATTTATATCAATAATATAATAATATTACCCCTTGCTTCCACTGCAAAAGTGAAAAATAACTAGTTAAACTTCAACTTCAGATTGGGAAGATTTACATTACTGCTTTACCACTTGTCTCATGATCATGATGCAGATAATTTAGCCAGTCACATAAATTATGGAACCTGTTTTCAGTCTAGTCACTAAGCACATTGCAAACTTTAAATTTTCCTCACAGGTGTAATATATAGAAGTCATGAATATGTATACCGTATAACCCAATTCTTTCTAAATACAGGTGCAGTTTAAGGGAAATGACAAACAGCTCATGATTTTTTTAAATGAAAATATAAGACTAAGTACTAAGAAATATTACCTGCAGGTTTATTTCTGACATACAATGTATTTATTTAGTTGTACTGTAGGTGCCACAGGTTTTCTAAGATGTCATGTTATTACAAAACCAGTGGCACTCATAGTTGACTAAATTGCCTTTAATCGATTTCAGTGACCTGCACTTAAGTCATCCACCAAACAGGTAGAAATCCTGGTCTGCATTCAGATATGCTATGAGAAGCAAAAAAAGTATGACATAAGTACCACTTTATGAAGAAGAACTTGGAAGCAGTAACATTGGGACACCATCTTTGCTGCTCATCTGTGTAGGGAAAGAAAAAAGGAAAAGAAAAAATAAATCGTTGAAATATTAATATGACTCCCTTTATGTAAATATCCCCTGCTGTGGACAAATGGGGAAAAAAACTCTTACACTGCATATACATCATCCAAACAGAAATGGAACAGATGTTTATCAGTTTTCTTATTGTTAATTACAAAAAAGATATTCTTATCTTTCCTCAGATATTAGCATTAGTGTTTTAACACTAATGCTGTAGTTAAAATTAAAATTAAATGCTGTAGTTTACTTATCCCATTTGCATCCTATTGGCCAGGAAATTGCATGGATAGAAGTTGTTCTTACAGCAAAGGATCATTTAGATCAGAGGCCAACTGGGAACTTTTAGATTAGAGACCAATAGGAAATTTTCTCTCAACTCCAACAGACAAAGCCTGTCATTTGTATTCACTTCCTGTAACACACAGGGCCCATAGCAATAGTCCAAAGGGTTCATTGGCCCGAAGGTTCAATAGTCTGAATGTATGAGTAAAGTGAATAGGGTACTGAAGGGGGGCTCCTCCCCCCTCCCTTGGCATGGGGTTCAGGGCCCATTGAAGGGCCCCAAAATTTTTTGGTATTTAAGAGGGCAAACATTGCCATTTGGTATGTTTTAGAACTATGACTCAGCTAGTCAAAATTCTAATTTCAAGAGGGGACCATTGGTGTGACTTTTTAAAAGAAATCGAAAAGGGGGGGGGGGGAGGGTCAGGGCCTAAATCCGCCACTGTACTGGTAATAATTAAAGTTAAGATCATCGGAGGCCATATTAGACAAAACTGAAAATTTGGGGAGTAGTCCTACACTTTACTAGGGCCATAGATATGTAAATCATGAGTAATATTCCGTCATCAGTTAGCCAGATGTATGTGGCTAATAATATGTTACAGTAGTAAAAAACTGATGAAAAACGTATGATTTTTCAGACCAAAGAACCTCAGAACAATGAACCTTTGGATACCTGCATCATATAAAGGGACAGATCTGAGGATGTTCAAGGTTTTAGACATCAACATGTACTGGTATATGTAGACAACAGTCTGTACATATAGCGATCGCCCTTTGTATTTGAACCTGGAATCCAGACGATATAATGCACCTTTGTAATTGCTGCAATAAACACTAATAAAATTATAGTCCAGGTCAAGTTTCAAGCAGTTCTCCATTGATTGATAATTCATCTGTTTGAATTTGAAGCTCACATGCAGTTTAGGAAGGTAGCCAAAAGTTTGACTCTGAAAGGCCAAATTACCTGAATATCCATAAGTGACTTCACAAAAAAGAGAGATAGTGTGTGAGAATGTTAATTTCCTTACTCAGGGGCGGATCCAGAGATATTTTCTGACAGTCTTCCAAATTATCTTTGTTGATCCATCCTCATTTTTGACCGTCTTCCGACAGAAAAAGTTAGATACCCGTCCATATAAAATCTTGAAAAGACTTGAAATTCTGACCGTCTTCCGGAAGACCCAGAAGACGGCCTAAATCCGCCCCTGTTACTTATAAATATAATATCTCAGTAGGAATCCCTTTATTCTATATATATTAGACATGAGCTAGCTTTGGTGAATGAAATGATTAAGTAGAATGTTACATCTACCATAACATTTAACATTTACAGAAATAGTTGTTCCTTGTTTAGATCAGCAAAAAATATGTTTAAGAGGGAAATGCCACTGTATCCAACTGCTTTTGCAGGCCTGGATGTACATTTATAGTGCAGATATTTAGGCCAGCACTGGTATCCTCTGTAAACCTGCATGCCTCACCTAGGAGTAACAACCGGATAATAATCAAATTAACTCCATGGTAATGTACAGTGGAGGAATGTTAGAAAACAAGATCGATCCAGTTTCATCCCTGACATTTTGAAAGAACTTCAGCATTCAAGAAAGCACTTTTTATGCTTCACTGATATGTATATTAATATATTACATTGCATTTTCTTTCAATGGTAGCTATACTACCACAAACAAATCAATATTTGTCATTTAAAAAATGTTATTTGTTTTCCTTGCAGATAACCCATATCTTCTATGCTAAATATGAAACAAATAAGACAAATTTGAATAACAAACTGTACTCAATTTAAATGTATTTTCTTCATTTGATGTAAAAAAAATCAACTTTAATGAATATTCTGAAGTATTCCCACCATGCAGTCATAACTCAGATATTTAATTGAAACAGATTTAGATGGTATTTACAATATCTTCCCAAACTCTCTATAATAGGAACTTCAATCATTTCCATTGACATTTAAACATTGTATCTAATGCACATTTTGTAGATCAATTTTAAGTCCTTTAGTATGATCAAAATTCATTGCATTATCATCCCTCCCCTCTATAAACCATAGGTAACACTGCAGTTACTGCATTTATTAATTTTTCCCTGTACATAAAATCAGCCTGTTATGCTGCTCTTAAGCTTCCAACCAAAGTAGCAACAAGGATTTGAAAATAAATTTTATGTGATTTTTGTAAAATCTAAATCACTTAAGATTGCAGGAATGTTGTACATCAAGAGTTTAATCCAATTTATAAGCCATCTCCCTGCAATGTCAGTTATTCTTGGAAGTAGGTTTCACATTATATTTATCAGTGCTGCACAGGCACCTCCCTGGAAAAAACCTCCATGATCACATCATTATGTGTATCTACGGGTGTGTAGCAACACCCGTTGACTGAAGGGTAAGGTTCATGACAACATCGTCACAGAAGGTATTAAATATTCAGTATCAATCCATCACAGCTCAGACCAGCAAGAGAATACTGAACAAAAAAATTGGTCCTGCCAAAATATATTTCAAATTCCAAGTTCATGGGATGGAGACCAAATACAGCACATCAGTGGGCTTTAATTCCCTCTTTCCCCCAGGAGTTTTGATTTAGCATCCTTAAGTACTTTCAACATTTTAATATACTTGATTTATGTCCACTGATCACCTGAAAGCATAGTCAGCAACAGAGTAGTTTCATAAACTACTGACATATATGTTTTTTAATCATTACTCTGTTACAGCGAGGTTGTATTTTACATCAATGGGAACTTAAACGTGAACACCATCTGGGAATTATTTCAGTATATGCCTATTTGAAAAGGGGAAAATGGCATGTTCTTGCATGTACACTTTAAATGTTACCACAAAAAGACCACAGAAAGTAAATATCCAGACTTTCACTAAAGCTTTGCTATGTTGATTGATACATGTACTGTAGATAGATAAAAAGGTTAGATGTAAGAAGATGGTGCGTACAAACTCTGATTTAAGAAGAGGCAAGGATCTAAATTCAAATTAAATTGCATGTAAAAAGAAGTTGATGTTAGCCTTTGTTTTCCATGGAGCAGTATAGTTAAAACAGTCTAGTTGGTGTGCTATCAGATGCATGGGAAGATCACATCAATCACTCCAAATATCCTGGAAATATCTCCTACCTTGAAAATATTTATCTATAAATTACTTGCCAGGGAATATTTATCTTCCCTTGACTTTGTGCTACTCTCGCTGTTTTTGCAGACTGAGAAGCCAACGGTAAAAAAAAAAGCAAGTAACTCTTGCATTAAAAAGGAAAATTTTCCAGTGCAGTCAGTTTTATAGAAACATGATGTTTTTATGTGTTTTAGTAAAACTGCACCCATTTATTAAAATTAAAGTGCTCTTCAACCTCTCTAGTGCACAGTAATACTTTTATTTTGAGAGATCTTAAAAGCTTCAGGCCACCTTTCCTTTTCATGACATTTGTTGAGGCTGCTTAATTACTGTGGTTTTCAAGGTTTTTAAATTTATGATTCTTATGTTAAATGTTTTAATAGTCTGTTTCAATTGCAAGCAAAAATATCGCCTGTTTACTAAGAAATCCATACTTGTCACAAGAGTGCTTCATGTTTTAGTTTTGATACACATAAAAACGTATTTGAGGTTTCTATAAAATGGCATGCCCTGGATTTGTTGCACACTTGGAACTCTCCTATCTTCCCTTGCCACCTCTTCTGTATACACCAATGCACACATACATTGCTAGGCATGCATGGACACACACATGTTAATGTTTTCCTAAAACTCTGTAGACTCCAGACTTGTCAAAACAGCTATACTCGATCATCATGACATTTACTGCATCTAGATACGTTTCCTTGTCATGTTAATTAAGTACCTGTACCTAGGTAAGGATATTACCTAAAGATGTCACCATCCTTCCCTGGACCTGTCTGCTGCTGCTGCAGCAGTGTGATATTGGTACCATAAAAGTGGTGCTGGCCCTGCTGAGGGTCTGGTTCAGGCATACTGCAGTCTATGATCAGAGTCTCAACCAGGGAGCCTTGCTGGGTGCTGCTTCCTCCAAAAGACACCCTACACAACACAGTCTGTATGAAAGCTACTGACAGAGCTGATAATATAGTGGAACACATAGCTGTCACACATCTTTAGGTCAGGTGTCGTTTACTTTGATGAACTTTATTTACATATTTAGCTTATTTAAGGGGGATACTAAAGGAGACAGGAAATTATTTTTGTATGACTGCAAATAAGCCCTAGATGAAAACCACATCTTTCTTTGAAAATTAGAATTGCCATGTAACTCTATATGTGTCATTAGAGTAATTGTGCCAAGGCCACAAAAGTCAAGTTGTGGAAACGATTACATACATCCACAGAAAGCCTTCACTGTTTGTGCTGTTAAACTAGTTTTAACTTGCTGCTAATTTACTCACTTCAAAAGGGGCTGTTATATTAAATTCTGCATCTCATATACAGCATAGAGTAGGTTGTGCAATGCTCCTTTGTTGATGTTTTTTTATATTATGTATGAGTCATTCCAAAACTAGTTTGAATATTTTATAGTGTAACAGTTGAAGGATGGATAGATAGACTTTGGATTAGTTCATTTCCTTGCTCAGGAAGAATTTATTGCAAAGGCATCTGTTTCTTTTTTTTTTTTTTTTCAATTATGAGGTACTTGTACCATAACAGCAGATTTAATATGATCTCATTTCACTTCTTATGATCATCCTTGAATTAGGACTTGATAAAGAAATTTAATGCAATGTCCTTGAAATTTCCACATCTTGTTACACTTCATGACTTGGTCATGCATGTATTCAGGTTTGTCCCTTTGACTATCTGCATGGCTCTACTGGTCTGTCCTCACACCTGATGCTGTTATGATTCAACTATAGTTGCCATATTTCCTCTCTTTATCTTGGCTGATTTTACTTCAAAATATCTTTTTAAGAAAAGAAAATCATGCTATCGGGCCTGCTATAATGATATCCACATGTATAAGTAAAAAACATGTATTTGACTGGCTACTTCTAATATATTCACATTTTCTCAAAATTTTAGGGCATAGGGAGTAATTTATTGGCGTCCAAATACAAGGAAATGGATTTTGTTGCACTTTAAACACTTAACTTTAACGTTCAATGCCAACATAATCTTTTCTTTCTTTCAAAACGCTACATTTAAATGTGTTTTTCAGAGCATGTTTCAGAATTCAGCTCTCTTGCTATAGTCATACTGTCCTTGCTTTTCTTCTTCCAAAAAATAAAGTTTTTATGTTTTTAACATCACACATTTATGCCATATTATGGTTATCATCACAATACTTCATTCTTTTAATTTGATACAAAAAATTCAATCTTATGCATGGTCATTTTTATTGATACTTTTTTCAATACAAACGGTTATTGTTTTTAATTTTTACAAAAGAAGTCTTCAGTTTTCACACAGTTGCAGATATTTAGCATTGCAAAGTATTGCCTCTTTAAGTTTAAAAGAATGTTTTTTCTCTTGATTGATATAGAAGTGTATGTCTATGCCAGCATATTGTGAGCTTTAAATATTTCATGCCACCATACGTATATGATTATATTTAAACATGCATATAACATTTAACCCCAGACTGAAACTAAACAATTTCACATTCGTTATTTTTAAATTAACAGCTGTTATTAAAGATAAGGTAATTTCAGTAATAACTGTTTTCAAAGTCTGATTCAAGTAAAAAATTATGTTATTATGATGATAACAGACATTATAATACATGACCCAGAAACCAGAAAAACAGAATTAATTAAAACACCACAATATACTTTTCATAATAATCGCTCCTCAAAGTCAAAGGTGTGAGGAAATTGCCAACACAGATATGAGTTAATCAGTCAATATTGGGATACCTGGTTGTCAAATTATCTCTAACAATCACTCAGATCAATATCTCCTTGATGCATTCATACCTTTTCTTTTTGCTCATCTCCCCATCTGCTCCCTGCTATATCTCCCCTGTTCTTTCTAGTTAATCAGTCTGAATTCTCCAATATATCACAGTATACCAGTGAGGCGTAAGCTAAAAGCCTGCAGTACCAGAACTGCTATCTTTTGCTATACATAGAATGCCACAAAACAGCTGAGGTACAATACCGCTCTAGGCACAGTTATGCCTTGCAACTCCAACTTACTTAATAAGTTACACAATTCACCAACTACAAGCTGACTAAATTATACCAGTCATATATTGTTGATTTGAATGATCCCTCCATGGCACCTTTACTAAGAAACAAAGGTAGGAGTATGTACAAGCTGTCATTATGAATTAGAATCAATAGTTCAAGTAGTATTTTTATTTCACATGGCTATTATTACACTCTGAGTTAAGACGAAATAAACTTTTCACCTGTTGATGCCTGTGTTGTCTATCTGAAGGCAAGTATTACAACAGGTACATTTCTGCGGCATATTGCTGCTGGACTTAACCTAGTAACACTCTGCTAAACTTGCTTTGAATTAAGTATCTTCTTGCATATATTTTCTTTTTCAATCCCAGTAAATTTGAAGCTCACCCTACTTCACATTTTAAATCAATATGATATTAGATCTGAAATGTTTAGTCTTAAAGAGTATAATTAGTTTTGAAGCATTATTGATAAGTCTGATAATATTTGACAGCAAAAAAATATGTTTTTCATATAGGCATGTGTCTGTACATATCCTGATCACTGTCTTTGTCCTTATTTTTGTTTTACTTTTTATTTACTTTGGGCTTTGTTTGATAAAAAGGTAGGTTCCTGTTGAAAATCAACTTGATTGTATTATTTGTACAGAAATTTTTTTTTCATGTACTTTGGTGAAATTTGCCCCAAAAGTTGGAATGATTGGATTCTTTTTACAAAAGTTTTAGACTTCTTGTGTTTTTGCATGTATTTTGGCATGTTTGCTCCATAGGTGTTAAACTGTATGTTTGTTTTGAATTAAATTTTCTTTTCAGCTTTGTTTGGTAAAACTGCAGAATCATTTTGAAAAACCACCCTGATTGGATTCTTTTAACAAAAGTAATTGACTTTTTTTTTAAATTTCAAATGAACAGTTGAACCTGTACACATGGTTACACAACTGTTAACATCTTTTAGACCATTGTATAAAGATAGGTTTGAAGCAAAATGTTATTCATATTTGAGTCATGAGATTGATTATGATTATTTATACTAATTCCGGTTGAAACTGGTCTGTTGAAACTGGGCTGTTTTAACCAACTGAAGAAAAAAGTTAGGAAAAGAACAACATGTATATGCTTTTCAATGCTCAACAGCAGTACAGGATATAGAAAGAAAACAGCAAATTCTGTCACGCTTGCAACCAGTCACAAGACTCAAGAAAATATGTAACATGGACAAGCGAAGGATTAATGTCACAAGTATGTTTCAAATTAATGTTTGCATACATTTGACATGAGTGGGATTATGAATAACAAGAATGTTCCATAAAAGGTACAGGCATGTTTTATGGTCAATTTTTCTTTGTAAACAGCATAGTCAGGTCTGGAAAGAAACTAGATCTATTGTATGGATTTCTCTCTTCACCCATGATACTTCATTTTAACCTTTCATGCACTGTTTTCAGCCCCCCCCCCCCCCTCACTTTCAACATACAATGTATAAGTGCATTTCTAATCTCTTGTCATTTTCTGGGTTTTTCTTAGTGGAGTGGCTACCAATTTTTTCTTCACCTCTCATAGTGCCATACCTGCCAGACATTAGCTGCATCTCTATTTTGGCACCTTATAGTAGCATCTGGGCACACTATTTCATTTATGAACAATTTGCAAGACTTTATGACAAATTGCACATTTTGCAGGCTGTACCCAGAGATGGAAGCCAACAAATTTAGAAAAGTCAACCAAATTAAAAATATAGAACTCGAAAATGGTTCATCGATTTGCATTTTTTAATGGTTTGGGATAGGATACACCTTTACCATTATGGAAAAATTCATGAAGCAGTAATTTCTTTACATGTTTTGAAGCTCAGTCACTGTTAACATGAAGAAAAATTTACTAGAGTGTGCCTGTTCAGTGGCTGTATATTTGCCAGGTTTGCTGGCTAAATTTTATTATTATTATTCACTTTTATTTTACTTTACAGGCATTTTGTTTTCAGCATTAATATGACATTTCATATCACAGGAACTAATGTACAAAAGCACCATAGTTGTTGCAAAACAGTTAATATGTTCAATATAGAGGCTGATATGACCTTTGGTTTTATAGCACAATGCTCATTGCTCCAGGTAATACAGATTTTATTTTACTGTTGAACAAACACCACAGATGAAGAGCATGTTTGCAACTGTAAGTTACATTACAACTAAAAAGAGTTTTTTCTTGCTAACTGGTTATAATTACACATTATAAACAACCTCTGAATAATTATAATTTAATAATTAATTAGAACAAATTGTTTTCTTTGTCATTTACTGAAAAAAGTACTCGTCTTTTGCAAAGTTCTTTGCTGTGCTTAACACTAAGTATCATTTTGCTGATGAAAAAGGCAATTTAATCCTAAGTGAATTGAATTATTGCAAATTCTTTTTTCCATTATCTTCTTCTTCCGCTTTCAGGTAAAGACCGCCTGGCAGCAGTGCACCATGTGGTATAGCCTGTTGGCTTTGCTTTGGATTATGTATTTTTCTGTCTTGGTTAGAGTCCACTACTTTCTCATTGACAAGGTAGGAAAGGAAACATCCATAGGTTCCAGACCAAGTGCTCCTAAAAAGGAACATGACAGATATCCTTTTCCTTCGAAACCACGCCATACAGACGGCAGAAGGCTTGGTGACGCAAGTTACCACAGGAAAGTGGATCACCACAATCGGGAAGGAAAGTGGTAAACGCATTCAGAAAACAACAGAGAATTTTTTCTCTTATTTAATTAGACCAGATGGAGAGATTTGTTTGCCTAGTAAAACAGCCCCCTCTGATATCCATGTTTTAGTGATGATCTGTTCTGCTGCCAGAAACTTTGCAGCCAGGGATGCCATCCGTAAAACATGGCTGTCTGAACATGCTTTGAGACCAAACCATACAAGTATTCATAAAGTATTCATTATTGGAAATGCCTACAATAAGTCTCTACATGGACTGTTGCAGATAGAGAGCACAAAGCATAGGGATATTGTGCAGGGAAATTTTCTAGATACATACAACAATTTAACCCTTAAATCCATATTTGCCTTGCAGTGGGCTTCACAATATTGCAACCAGGCTGACTTCATTATTAAAGGAGATGACGATGCGTACATCAACATCAATAACTTGGTCAGATATGCTGTAGATAAACATCTGAAGAACACTTTTCTGGGATATTGTTTAACAGGAATAAGACCTGAACGTAATCCAGTTTCAAAATGGTATGTTCCTAGAAGTATATTTCCCGGAAATTCATATCCTCCATTTGTAGCAGGTTGGGCTTACGTGATGCCTGGCCATCTTCTCATTCCTCTGTACAACGCCACTCGAACATTGCCATTTCTGCATTTGGAGGACATCTTTATCACAGGGTTATGTGGGGGAAAGCTGGGTGCAAGGCACAGAGGGCACCCTGGTTTTCAGGCAAGACTGAACATGTCTGATACTCATATGCTAAAGTCATTTTTTGCCGTTCATTTTGTTACCGTAGAGGATCACTATAGATTTTGGGAGGCAATCAAGAAACTGGAGCCAACCATTTAAACTTTGTTAATGTGCCAGGGTTGTCTAACTTCGTAACTGTAGATTTCCTTGAATGCCATGCATTGCTATGATTTCTTCGAGAAGCATCAATATATTTTGAAGGTCAACCCAAACTAACTTTGGTTCTCATGGCAACATTGTCGTCATTTACGGCGTGACAAGACGCTTCTCAAAATATCACAGCAATTATTGTCTCTCATACCCACGTTGGGCGGTTATGGGAGATGAACAATTGTAGAACCAGCTCTCAGATGGCGTTTATGTTGGCTCGAAGCGCTATTATCAAACGCTAAGATAACAATCGAGAGAGAAAATTTCGGGATAATTGTTTTGATGTGATGCAGATATAGAAATAAACTGCCGTTCAAAAAAACAAATTGCAGGCATTAAATAAGAAGCTGACGATCTGTTGGCAATGACCGTCAATAACAGTTCTTGTTTGAATTTGTTCACGGTAAAGCAAGCGGAGACTAAGGTGTTCAGACTTGGTTAATCAACTGCAAAGATATATACTTGATATACAAAGATAGATGAAATACTAACGATGAAGCGGCATATAAAAACAAGGAAACAAATAAACACATTTTGTTTGAAGTGCTGTTTGTTTAAGATTTCTTTGGTAATCGAATTTATGTCAAAACATTTCCTTACTTTATCCGTGAATTTTTATAAGATTTTGAAATAAGCGCACCAGTTACTTGTGTACGTTTTTACATTACATTTACACGGGCGCCGTGCGATGAAATTTTCCTTACGATTTTTTTTTAATCGTAAGGAGCTACGGGCTACGCCGAGTATGTCTACATTACATGGCCTAAAATCCGTACGATTACGTGTGTTTTCGCACGGCCACCGTCTACCCCCGCTCAGACGACGCACGAAAAGGGTATTACGGGCAGTATGCCTATACGTGCACCATACGGGTATGCATTTCAAATGTAATCTAGGCTTAACTGATCTGTTTTTTGTCTTTAATTTTGAACTAATAGTTTCGTGACGGCGGTATCATATGCATCTTGATCTAGATCAAAAACCGTTCAACACTAGCGACTGCCACATAAAAGTATCGCACTTACAAAGCTCGTGCGGCTGCACGTGCAGGGTTGGCAAAGCCCAAGACTGATGTGCGAATTGGAGGTTCTACGCACTGAGATCAACAAGGGAAGATTGCAGTTTAACTTGTGTGGCTCAAAATGTTTAAATTAACCAATCTACGTTGAGTCAAACTAATCATTTGCCAATCAGAAAACGGACTAATGTTCACCCCCCCAAAAAAAGCCAAAAACTTTGTGGTTTTGTACTCACGTGTTGATTACAGGCGTTTCATATCCTGAAAGGAGAAAGTAAAAGAATTATGAGTTTGGTGAAAATAAGGACAATTTGGTTATTGTTGGAATGATCCTTGTTTAAATGGTTTAAAAGACAGTTAGGCCTACCTCTTCCACGTAATTTCTGTTCATGGCGTACCTTGCACTTCACCAACGGTCTTACCTGATCTATACCTTTAGATAGAACTCGTATATCCCAGCAGGAAGACAGTTAGGTAAATATATTATAACTGAAGTGGTAGCCAGCCCTTTCGTTTTCCAAAATACTACTTTCTGACGTGGATATATCTTTTTTTCTGTCGGCAGCCCTCGTTTGCCTTTTTCTTTTTCACTCTGTCCACTTTTGTGTATAAGTTGAAAGGAACACCCGTTGTGTTTTAAAACTCTGCAACCGTTTTGACCCAAAAAAGATCGTCGTTTGAGTTAATTGCAGTGATAATTCATCTATCAAATCATCGATGCCCAGGCTCGTCACTGCGCTACGCGCCGTACTAACAGCTGATTCCTCATATACATTGTAGTTAAAGGGGGGCGATGCAGTTACCTGGAGGATTCCGAGGAATCTTAACAAGAACCCTCTTCACAGACGCTCACCTGCTTTCTTAGTTTTGTTTCTGATGCGTCTAAGGAATCGTGCCTTCGATCAGAATTTTGTAGAAAAAGCATTAATTTTCTAATTCTCTTTCATTCCGGAACGGGCTTGTGTCTTTTTACGTTTCTCCCATTGACTGCACATGCTCTTTTTATATTTGATTAATATCTACAAAGTAATATGATGGGATTTATTTGTAGCCCAATTATGTTCTCATTCTATTCATTCATCAACGCTCGGAAAAACGAAATCGATGTTCCGCATGCAGGTTGTCGCATGCCCATTACTGAGAGTGTATCTGCCGGCTGTGTGCCGTGGAATTCACACTCAGATGCACAGACATGCCAGCTGTTTCAACAAAAAAAACGTCTTTCTTTTTAGAACGCATACAAATACTGGCAAGGTTAGAGCGTTTGCATCCAATTTTACCTACTGGTGGTGTTACGTAAACCGGTTATAGTTCGCCAGATTTCATAGTGTCTTAGCTTTTCTCTACCGAGGAAAGAAATAGATATCGTAAATCGCCGCCTTGTCAACTCTCATGAACTTATGACAAAGCCAGCTAAGAGCCTTCCCTTCTCGTACTCATTTACATGGGACTCTATCATAATATTGCACGGGAAATCGTACTTGTATTTACTAAAGAAATGCTGAATGTATCCGCTACATCGCATTATGTGATAATTCGCCTATAGTTCTTAATTACAATGGTATGGTCGATACCGGCTAATCAACCGGGTTCTGTTCACATACTGGCCGCCTTATATATTGATGCTAGACTAGTGTAACGCTGTCCAAAGTCAACCACACAAGGAAATCGTATATATACGCACCTGAATCCAGCTCCCCGTTCTCGCCTCCAGAGGCCATTGCGATCGCAAACCAAATTTTTCAGCGGTCGACCAAAATATCCTTTCCTTAAGAGGCAATAGGTGATATGTATGCCCACAACCCGCCCAAGGTACCTATCATCTATAGCACGCCGCCATGTTTATTTGGTCTGCATATATATATCTATGTATATGCTTTCCCGGAAACCCCTAGAAATAAATGACGAGAGCGGCATGGATGTCAATTCTGGGTTATGAAGATTTCCGCGCTCGTCTCTGACTACCGCCTGCTCAGTGGCGTGGTATGGGAATGAATACACTATTCAAGACTGCTGCTGAGAAATCGATGAAAATTATCAATCGAGGTCATTTCGATTGGTTGTGATAGTGACACGCAGGTAAAATGACAGCTGAGATCATATGACGCATTACTGTGTACTTGATATGACATTGAGCTGTGGATGACTTCGACTTAATACATGTACCGGTACATACATGTAACGCGAAGAACGGGGGACCATTAATCTGAATATGGTGAAACCAAGCCCATAATAAATTCTGTTGCCCATTTTTTTCCATACTTGTAAATTATAGTATTAACAATGCGGTTAAGTGAGAAATCGGACGTTTAGTGAATTAATCTGGGCTCCTCTTTTTTATTTTATTTTTTATGACAGTTTGTTCCTAGACAACCTATTGATTTTAACATAATTAATACGACAATATGCGCGCATCTGTTCGATATCAAGCTGTTTATGCGCACTCTGTGTGTACTTAAAAGAAAATTAATTTCGTGGAACTTGCATATCCTCGACGAATCAGTCAAGTGATCAAAATCCTTCGATGAAAAGTCGAAACATCGTGCCTTACAGTTAAAAGTTTAGTGTCTTTGCTTTTAACCGCCATATATTTCACTTGACTAAATAATTGGCCTGCGTAATATTTTAACCGTAGTTAGGGGAGGGGTTTGTTGAGTTTAACCTTGATATTTTTTACAACGGTATCGGCTTCTACTTACGCACGTTTCGTATGTGTTGCCAAACACTACCTCGGTAACACTGCGTCAGAATAGACAACTCTCTCTCTCTCTCTCTCTCTCCTAAACGTATATTTTAGTAATTAATTAATTAAATGTGGAAATTTATTGGGTGGAAAGGAAACGCACCGAACCTCAAATTGCAATTTTTTGAAAATAACTCCATTCTCCCACATTTCATTTAATAAAGAAGGATGGCCGTATTGCGGGTGTTGTATTGTTTTACGTGAAGGTTAATTTATACGCCATAATTTGTTGCGTTATCTTGTAACCTGTAAATGTACATTAAATTCTATCCTACATGTATATAACATGTTTTGATTTGTTGAACATAAATATCTTTACAGAAGGTTATATCTTTTCGACTCAATCCACATGACTTCAGTTTTCAGTGAGTTTTAGAAAGATTAATATGCAAACCATAGTACTTCGAGGCATACAGGATATATGTACGGTATTTTATTTGACAACTCACAAGTTGTACTTTTTAAAAAACATTTTTTCAATATAATGCATCATAAATACGGGGCATTACTAAGCACTCGACCACACTCTCTCACATGTAGGCCTACGAACACATTTGATTTATTATATGTTCGCTTACTATTTAGGTTATTATATAGACTTATGGAATGTACTGACAACGTGACTTCGTATGCCTGTTTTCTATCAAATATCGGAAATCATATCCTTCAAAGTTGGTTTCTCCTGTGAACACTTCTTCAAGTAAATGTAAAATTTTGTTGCAATAGAAGAATTGGGAGAGACTCCAGGAACTAACTATGCAATCACTCACTTGAGTATAAGGTAAAACAGTATTGTTCTGCCAATGCAACTAGTGCTTTTGGGCAACGTCACAGCTACATGCGTGTGCTTTTGGGCAACGTCACAGCTACATGCGTGTGCTGTATTTTTATTTATTTATTTATTTATTTATTTATTTATTTGTTTGTTTGTTTGTTTGTTTGTTTTACAGCTCAGTTACAAGGCAAACAAAATAGTATCTGCTTTCCGGTATTTGAAAAGCGGTGAATTTATTGTGAAGAATATTATGGTTAATTGAAACCAGTCATGACAGCCGTATTGAGTCTTTCGTGATTGTAAATGGAAGATCTAAAACCTTAAGACACTCATTTAGGATTCCTTCAATTCTTTCATTTTTAATATCGGATACATCCACTACTTTCCTCGAAATTTTACAACAAATTTCGAGCCCTTTAAACAATCAGATAGTATCAAAATATGGTCTGTTTGTAAGAGCTCGGGTATTCATTTTTTCAGGGATATCACCTAGACAGCGATGACATGACATCGTCTCTTGTGTGCACGTTTTCCGTTTATAATATACATCGTATTTTACTTCATATCCATAAAGTTGGGAAATGTGATTCAAACACATATAAAAATTATCAGGAAAGAGTATACTTAACCTCACAGGGTTGGGAAAGCACGCTGCGATCCTGAATCGGCGGTTAAACAGCGATAACATGAGTTACACGTCGAAAAGTGGGCCCCTGGTATAGCTAGTTTAATTAGTCTCATTTAATATTCATGTGACCGAGTCATTATGTCATCAGTGGAAATCTCCACTTTTTACGTCCCTGGGCCGAATCTGAATGGGAAAACGAAACTACACGCTAGCTATGGTTTCGTTGTCTTGCGAGTCTGGATGAAACGAAACAGGATTGAGTCATAACATCTGTGATTACACGCTCAGATGACAGGATTTCCTTACACATTGCTGTTTTATGAAAAGCAGGTGTATTTCATGTATTTAAATCCCGAAATGCGCAATTAAACGGAGTAAATCACGGCTCCTCGGTTTAATTGCAAGTCCCCTGCAAGGACGGCGCGTGTGGAGGCGGGGAAACCATCAGCGGATTAGTCGGCTCTTCTTTCATTTTGGGTTCGCCATATTTGATCCGTGGATTATAAGACCCTCGGATCTTCTATTCTGAATGGACTCTTACACCCCATTTCCATAGATTTTTAGATCGATCTATCCCTGTGGGGAGTCTCACTAGATTACTGTCAGCTTGGCCGGCCTAAGCGTCTGTCCCGCCTACTAAAAGCTGTAAGGGGGTAATTAACTATGGTGCCCGCTCGGCTGACTGCAATTTAGCGTGAACCCCCAGGGAGTTAGGTCGATCTAAAACTTAATCTTTAGATCGATCTAAATCTCTGGGAAAGCACCCTTAGTGATACTGTTATCCTTTGCCAAAAACTCCTTATTCACCGCCTTATATGCATTCTTTTGGATAACATATTAATTTTCAGTAACATTTGCACTCGTCATCTTACGGGTGACGTCATGATTTCAGTTTTGGGGTAAAATTTGAAAAATAGGTTTCTCAAATTTCTCCTTTAGGCCTACCTGAGCACCAACGAACACTGTTTTAACGCCAATTTAATGACACCATTTAGCACCCAGCGATTTTTCTTAAAATCCTTAATTAGTTCAGATTTTATCGTTGATTAAACAAAATAATGTCTTTGTTTGATGAAAATCTGTAATTGGGGGCTCACAACTCCATAACAAAAACATTTAAACCAAAATGAGGGCATGGGATTGTAGCCCAATGTCTTATAGTCAACTATGCCAATTTTTGGGATAAAATCTTGCACAGGGATGAAATTACTCTTCATACAGATTGCTTTCTTACCTCAAAATAGAAAGGTATTAAAATGACAATAAAAGCTTCGAGTTGCCTATACATTGCAACGAGAAATATAAACGTCGATATATTTTTTGAAGGGATTTTTATTGTTTTAAATCAGCACAAAGATAGACGCATTATTGAATAATTAGATGCAGGAAAAACCTCATTTTCGGTATATGGATAATAATAAAAGTTAACAATACCCTTAAAGACCGTGAAGGTATCCTTTTACTTGCAAGTGGGCCTATCATTCATATATATATTTTTTTTTTTTGGACACGTGCGTAGATAAGGGATCAATGTTCTCTTCGAGGAGATCGTCAATGATAAGTAGGTATTGTGATTATTTATTTATTTATTTATTTATTTATTTATTTATTTATTTATTTATTTGTTTCTAATGACAGGTTCGCACTTTATGACTGTAATAAACTGAAGTGCGCCAGAGAGAAAAATCGTGCAAGAAAAATCGTACAGCGCATTCACGCACCTGCGATTTGTGGCTATGAATTTCGCTCGGACAAGGAGAAATTTAAACTGGAAGGTAAACTGTAGAAAAGTAAATTAAATTTCATTGTTTATTGAAGGAGCACTAACGTTAAAATGATTGGCAAATTTGTTTGGTGCATCGCCCTTCGTCCTGTTCGCAGTAGTGGCGTGGTTTGTCTTGGTGGTATGATCGGTTGACAGTAGTTAACACTTTTCACACAGAAGATGATAGGTGCTGTCCAAATGCAGTTTTGCATACAGATTTGGATGCATACTTTTGATGAATTGGTTTGATTGAGGTGTTTCACACGTGTTAATTCGGCAGTATGACGGTAACTTACTCTTCTAGGGTGGCTTCCGTCAGCAACGTCGCTTCATTCTTCAAGTTGCTCATTAGGTTAGTAATAATGCGAACCCCACGGGCGGGACCGCACTGTGAAGTCAACTACAGTACTTATGCTTGGTTAACGAAATAAATATACAGTAGGGAAGCACTTAAATCTGGAAAGAAAAGATTTCATTTTGCTTGAACTGCTTATTAGTGTTTTAACAGAAGTGCCAATAGTAGGAGGCTTCTGTCTGCCTCGTAATCGTTCTCCTAGCCTTGGTTTAAACCAAAAATACATTTTTTTGAAATTGTATACAATTTTCCATACACTTTTTTGGCAACGTCACTGTAGCTTTGGGTTACAGCAAATATGTTTACATTACTTGCGGGAGTCGTGCCATTTTCTCCGACGTGGCTTTGAGGTCATGTAGGGAAAATTCGGTTGTTGTTTGAGAAATAATCATAAGGAGCCCTTTCAGTCTCAGTGTAGTTGCTGTTCGCCTTCAGTGCAGTTTGCTTGAAGATTGATATGTTGTCAGTACAGCCCCCCTGTGATAACACCCATGTGGTCAGAATAACAAAACTTCACACAAGTAAATAAAGCCGATAGCTAGGTTCAACCATTTTCACGATCACTGCAAGTTCACCCTACAATGCCCATACAGAAACTGTGCGATGCCTTCCGTGATTGTGCTATAGCCTACAGGCTTACGATTTTTTAAATTTGTCAGAAGTTTTAGCATAGAGGCATACAGTGTCCATGAATCTGTACAATTTTGTTCGAATTCGCATGGCCACTGAAGATCTAAATACATCTATACTTTTGTTTGTACTTGTAGGTGGAAAGGTAGTGTCATCAAGTTGGTATTGGTGGACCTAATTATCTTCTTAGTGCTGTATTTTATTTTTAACTTCACATACAGATTTGGACTCAATCCAGCACAGAAACGGTAAGTGTCTGCAGGGTTGCCAATATTATGGGTCTTGAAATTTTTAAAACTTATTAAAAAAGTATTGCTTGTTAAAATCTGAAAGTATGCATGTAATTGTAGAAAAAACACTCAATCAAAATTATTTAGTTTCAGAAAAAAAATATGCTTTGAAAGGTTGATGTACCTGAATTAATAATAATATATCTGTTCTTATTTTTCACCAGAACTTTTGAGTCCATCGCCAGTTACTGCAACCAAAATACTGGCCGTATCCCAGTTGCATTTATCCTTGGTTTCTATGTGGTCCTGGTAATCCAAAGGTGGCTGCAAGTTTTACGCACCCTACCATGGCCAAATCGCATGTCTTTTTTTACCACAACCTTAGTCCACGGAGATGATGAGATGGGTCGACTCATGAGACGCACCATCCAGAGATATCTTACTCTGTCCACTGTGTTGTTAACTAGAGATACGTGTCCTCCAGTCAGGAAACGCTTCCCTACCTTACAGCATGTAGTAGATGCAGGTAATTGTCTTTGAAGTATACGTATATGGATATTCATGTGCTTTACTATATCCTTTTTGTATTACTAAACACTGAAGATTTTTTTCTTTGTTAGATCTTCACCAGTAATGTTAATACCTCCATTAAAAATGTGCTACTAATATCAAATGCCTTCAAGTTTCATTGCAGGCATACTCTTCAAGAAAGTTGCATCCACCAAAGCATCAATTATGAATATCACAGAACATAAAATTGTATCAAGTTTTGTATCAATTTTAATGGGAGTTGTTTATGTTGACATTCACAGAACACATATATGTTAAGTGTTTAAGAATAATTTGTCCAATGTGACAATGTGATCAATAATGAAATATAGTAATACACCTATATTATTATGTATAGAGCTTACCTGATGCAGCTGTTTAGCTTTTGGTTTGATATATGTATTCTTCATCATTAATGTGTGTTTGCGGTGTCTTTTTTAAAATTTACCTGAAAATTATCTTATTGTGAAAATTTTGGCCCCCCTCCTTGCTTAGGGTGCTTTCCCAGAGATTTAGATCAATCTAAAGATTAAGTTTTAGATCGACCTAACTCCCTGGGGGTTCACGCTAAATTGCAGTCAGCCGAGCGGTCACCATAGTTAATTACCCCCTTACAGCTTTTAGTAGGCGGGACAGACGCTTAAGCCGACCAAGCTGACAGTAATCTAGTGAGACTCCCCACACGGATAGATCGATCTAAAAATCTATGGAAATGGGGTGTTAGACTTTTATTAAATTTCTGAGCAATGTACAATGGAAAGAAAAATAAATATTCCATTGATGTGGCACCAGTTGAGTGGGATCTGTTCAGTTTAGGGGACTTGCCACAATCAGATGTGTTTTCAATATAATTGATAACCAAGAATACAGTAAGTAAATAGAAAGATGTTTTAAGATAAAAAGTGAATGGTTGATTGGCTTTTATGTAAGATTGTGAGAAAATTGAATCCTGAGAGACATCCTGGGCTGACTGCCACTTCGTAAAAACCCAATGAAAACTCAGTTCATCTGAGGAAGGCCTTGTGATGAAGTCTTGATCACTGTTTCAAGTAAGATATAATATAAGATTCAATTTTCTCATTATTAGTATCATGGATGAATAAAAAGTTTAAGATTTTGGCTTTTATGTAAGTTTAAGACTTGAGTGATGATGTACATGAGAACCTAACTTGCCTTTGCCAAAAAATAGAAGCCCATTCGTCCCATTTTTATTTCTAGGCCTGATGACAGATAATGAGATGCATGTGTATGAGAACATCCCGGCCCCTCAGGCCAAGTACTGGGTGCCACTGGTATGGTCAACAGCACTGGTGACACGAGCCAGGAAAGAGGGAAGGATTAAGGATGACATATCTGCACAGACAATGATTGTTGTAAGAGAGTTTGTTCTAAGAGCTTGTTCTGAAAAATTTAAAGATTACCTATTTTAAAACATTGTTCTGGTGCTTTGCAGAATGTGAGTAACCATGTAGAGTAAGGTACATTTGAACTGAACTTTGGTGGATCATGGATCCCAGTAATGGATGTAAATCACTTCTACTAGTTCTTATTCAAGTCAAATAAGGTCAACATGCCAAGTGATAGCTGGAATTAATCACTAGATCAGCCATATACTGCACCTTCTTTAAATTTTTGGTCCTAAATTTAACCTACTTGTACGTATCTGACTTACTTATCTTCGCCATTTATATGGCCCCTAATACAACTTTGAAATGTTTTGGTGTCATACTCATATTAAACTGCATATGTATATTGTGTGTCATATTCTTTTTTTAGGAGATTGATAAATACAGGGGCTACCTTATGGCTCTCTTCAACTATGACTGGATCCCTATTCCCTTGATTTATACTCAGGTACTGTAGGTTGGGCTCATACCCCTTGTCATCTCATTTGTAGTCAATATATTGATTTAATCTATGATTCAAGATAAAGCTGATAATATGGCATCATGCATTATTAATTGTACCACCAGCGTAGGCGCTGGCGGTACACATGGTTTTAGTCCCGACCCGTATGTTCCGCCGGCTCCGCCGGCTCCTGCGGCTCCGCCGCCAAGTCACCGTTACCGCTTCTCCTCCTAGACTACTAGGGCCTGCGTACCCATCTCTTGGATTTAGGTCACCTATAATCTCAACTCGTTCCACGTAAAATTTGGGCTTTGTCGGTATTGGGGTCTAGGTGTGGCACTCATTGCAATGCACCCTTGTCCAAAAATGGCAAAATTAAANTTCTTTTAAAATTTTTAAGTAGATTTTTTAGGATGAATATTAATTTGTTTTAGTGTGATCTTTGGTTATAAATGTGTTTGTCTCTGGTTTGTATATGATTTATCCAATCAACTGAAGATTTTTGTGAAATATTGTGCTCTTTTCAGAGTTTTTTCAGTGGAAATGCAGAATTCCGCTTTTTTTTTTATTCTGTTTTAAGGTGACCCCGGACCCTGGCCGGTTAGGTGTTGGGTTCCATGATAATTGCTCAGTTTTTTTTTTTTAAACCTAGGCTCTTGTCTGTCTTTTACTTTAAGAGACCAATCTAGCTGTGAATACATACTCACTGGTTTCCCTAGCTGTGCTTGTGTACTGAATGGTTTTTGTGTAATTCTAGGTGACCACTTTATCTGTGTATACATATTTTCTGGCTTGTTTGATGGGGGCACAGTTCCTGGATGTGGAAACTCCCCAAAACTGGATTGACATGAAAGTCCCCATCTTCACAGTAATGCAGTTTGTCTTCTATGTGGGGTGGCTAAAGGTAGGAGAAACTGATTCATATATAGAATGTCATCTTATTACACTCAAAATTAAGATTGTTAACCATTGTCAACTTAAAGCATCCACAGTTTATTTTGTTTCCACCAGTGCTTTCTACCATTTTGCCATCAGAACTGTGAAACAAATTTGCCAAATCATTGAATGCATGGTTTGGTTGTTTTGCTTTGATGTGGTTGGAGTTGAAAGATTTGCTGTACTGTCCTCTCTCCCTGCAGGTGGCAGAATGTATGCTGAACCCACTTGGAGAGGATGATGATGACTTTGAAATAAACTACATAATTGACTGTGGATTTGAAGTAAGCCAATGTTTTATTTGTTTTAGCACTATTTGTATCAGAGAATTGTATCATCAAAAATTTAACTGTTGACAAAATTGCTCATGGGAAGTTTTCACCTACATAAGGTCATCATGTGAAAGAGGAGAACCTAGATTTGCATGTTGACAAAAGTAGTGCAGTCCAAGAGCTCCATGACGATCACTAACATAAATGTTAATAATTAGTCTTATCATAAATGCATATATATATATATATATATATATATATATATATATATATATATATATATATATATATATATATATACAAACACACGGTCCTGCAGTTATCCATGTTGGCTGTGGAGCTCCATGGTACACTGCCTGAGATGGACAAAGATGTCTACTGGGAGAAGGTGGAGTTTGACTTGCCATACACAGCAGCTGCTGAGAAGTTTAAAGTGGAGCCACACTTGGGATCTGCAATTGACTTGGTGTAAGCACATATTTCAATTCTGACAAGCCATTCTAACTTGACCATTTTTGATACTTTGCATCAAGCATAGCAGATAGTATTGTTGGATACTATCAATTCTTTTGTGCCATGTTCTTATGCGATAGAAAATAAAAAAATTTTTTAAATTTAAAATAGCTAAAGAAAATTAAGATTATTCTTAGAAGTGACTTAAAACAACAAAGAAAAATACATGTAGACTATATGTCAACTTTACATATTAACCATTCCAATCATAGTGTGTCCCCCAAAGTCTCAGAGTTTCTGCAAGATGGTTCCTGTAGCAGCATACCAGATGAAGAGGCCTCCCCCAGTATCATAAGACGGCGTCACCCTAGTAAAATGCAGCGTATCTTCTCTAACCGATCGAGGCACATGCGTCCCAGACGCCAGCTCTCCAGGACAACATCTAGCAACTCTCAGACCTCAGGACAAAGTAATGTGCATGATAGACCACTTGAACCCCAGAGCTTGGTATGTCTTGTACTAATACTGCTTTGTAATTGTTTTGTAGAATATAACAGTCTGTGTGCAGTTTGTTTTGTTGTGTCTCCAGAAATAGTTTTCCACAAGCACTCCTTTTGTAATTGAGATTTGCCTTACATTTGCTGTGCATACTGCATTGTGATTTTTTGATAATTATTTATGAGCAAAAAATGATGTTTACTAGCTGAGTATTTGAATATAAGTCATATAATTGTTTGACACAAGCTGGAATTTTTTTCATCACCGTTAGCTTGGGGCCAGTTTGGTCAGTCAGGCTCCTGGCCTTCCAAATTGGCCATACATCAAGGAAAATTCTCCACCTTGTGTCAAAAAATTATATGATTTGTAATAATTTATGATTTTGCTGAAACAAAAGTAGTAGTGATTTAGTAAAAAACATTTTTTACTATAGGAAGAGTAGCATGGTTTTNATATATATATATATATATATATATATATATATATATATATATATATATATATATATATATATATATATATATATATATATATATATATATATATATATACAAACACTTGGTCCTGCAGTCATCCATGTTGGCTGTGGAGCTCCATGGTACACTGCCTGAGATGGACAAAGATGTCTACTGGGAGAAGGTGGAGTTTGACTTGCCATACACAGCCGCTGCTGAGAAGTTTAAAGTGGAGCCACACTTGGGATCTGCAATTGACTTGGTGTAAGCACATATTTTAATTCTAACAAGCCATTCTAACTTGACCATTCCTGATACTTTGCATAAAGCATAGCAAGTAGTATTGTTGTATACTATCATTTCTTTTTTACCATGTTCTTAGGCGATAGAAAATGATGAAATAAATTTTTAAAGTGAAAATAGCTAAAGAAAATTAAGATAATTCTTATAAGTGACTTAAGACAACAAAGAAACACAAATGTAGACTTTATGTCAACTTTATGTTACCATTCCAATCATAGTGTGTCCCCCAAAGTCTCAGAGTTTCTGCAGGATGGTTCCTGTAGCAGCATACCAGATGAAGAGGCCTCCCCCAGTACCATAAGACGGCGTCATCCTAGTAAAATGCAGCGTATCTTCTCTAACCGATCGAGGCACATGCGTCCCAGACGCCAGCTCTCCAGGACAACATCTAGCAACTCTCAGACCTCAGGACAAAGTAATGTGCATGATAGACCACTTGAACCCCAGAGCTTGGTATGTCTTGTACTAATACTGCTTTGTAATTGTTTTGTAGAATATAACAGTCTGTGTGCAGTTTGTTTTGTTGTGTCTCCAGAAATAGTTTTCTACAAACACTCCTTTTGTAATTGAGATTTGCCTTACGTTTGCTGTGCATATTGCATTGTGGTTTTTTATCCTAGCATAATTATTTATGAGCAAAAACGATGTTTATTAGTTGAGTATTTGAATATAAGTCATATAATTGTTTGACACAAGCTGGAAATTTTTTCTTCACCGTTAGCTTGGGGCCAGTTTGGTCGGTCGGGGTCCTGGCCTTCAAATTGGCCATACATCATGGAAAATTCTCCACCTTGTGTCAAAAAATTATATGATTTGTAATAATTGATGATTTTGCTGAAACAAAAGTAGTAGTGATTTAGTAAAAAATATTTTTTTACTATAGGAAGAGTAGCATGGTTTTACTGTGCACAGTTCCTGAGTAATATTTTGTTGTAGGTGTTGTAAAGCTAGTGAAATCAGTTGTTTTCCAGTGGCTTATTGAGACTATTAGTATGATGTGTGCCATTCATGGTTTCAGAACTACTACCAAAAGGTGTCCAACTTCCTTGAGCTGGCCAATACAGAGCATGTGTGTACAGTTCAGAACTGTTATTGTGGTCTTCTGTTTCATTATTGTTGACTGTTGGTTTTATTATTTTAATGTTATATGTTTCTTGTTGTTATATTAAATTTGTTAAGATTATAATTAGCTACAGTAAACAGACTTCCATGCCAGTTATAGTGACCTCATGAATGAATACAGACAGACAGACAGACAGACAGACAGACAGACAAAACAATACTATTCTGTACCCTGTTGTACCATACCATACCGTAATATAACATAGCATACCACAGAATACACAATATAATGAAATGATGTAAATATCCTTATCAGTTCTGACCAAACTGACTTAAAGTGCTTCTGAGGAGTAAAATCTCTGAGACAATATGCCATCCATGCATGTGTCTGTCTCTAGAATACATGATGATGTGTTTTAACAATGTGTTTTTGATAGAATGCAATGTCTTTAAAAAGATAAAACAGATTATATGGTATTTATAGCTTCAACTGTGCTTTGAAAATGAACCATATTTAACAGGGTTTTGTGTGTATAGTGTAAATGGTGGTGTGATTGAGATATTTTATGTATGGTGGAAACTTATTTATAAGCAAACAACAGACATTTTAGTCAAACTGTGCACTTGTTGTGCTTGCCTTATGCTTTCCGACCATTTAGAATGTTATTGGTCTTATTTGTAAGTTATGGGTGGCATAGATCATTTGGCTGTGGTGGCATGTCTTGGCTTGCTAGTCAGATTAGTCTTCAGTTCCTTTGGTTTCCACAAGAAGACTTTGGATAATTTTAGCCTTTTTCCCCCTCAAAATACTAACAGAATACTGAAAACGACCTGTTGTGCGTTTAAAAAGGAGTAATTGTACTTTCTCTGGTCATCTAAGTCCTATGATTCCATGAATCACACACCTATTTCTATCTATTGTGTTGAAGATATGATGACCAACTTTGACCTTGCTGTAGAGCTTGTTGGTCAGAATTTAATCTGAATTGACCTTGTGGATACTGATCTATATCTGAAGTATGAATTTGATATGATATATAACTTGTCTCATATTCATGGTGTGTGGAGCTTTTTCATTGTGTATCTTGGAAATATTGGCATTTTGCACTTTTTTGGGTGGTGATTCATGAAAAAATGCCAATTTATGCATTAACATATGTTTCTCTTATTCTTGTTATTTTGGAATGTTTGAATGTGATTTGAGTGAGAAAAACATGATTTTATATATGCTCATTTCAAAAACTACAGAGAAAATGGTGGTGCCTCACCACTGCATGCATTATAATAATAAATTCAGTAAAAAGGATTTTTTTCAGTTCATAGATAACTAATGTAAAGTTATCTGAATTCGACGTTCAAAAGTCCATAATTCTAACATTAAAAATGATTTTACATTTCTAAAGCCATCTCCATTTTGTTTGAAGTATTGGTTTAATTCTAAAAATGCATGATTTGTAAAGGTTATGTTTGCAAACAAATCACTACTGGCAAATATACTTAGATATACCCACTTTTTACAGACATCTGAAAATTAATTGGGCCCAGGGAAAGCTCATTTTGATATTGACTGTGTATGTGATAATTTTATCATTGCTTTGGTTTGTTGCTTGTAACTTTATGGAGAAAACAATGGTCAAGCATGTATGTTATGGCAAGTATTTCCCTAGATTATAGGACTCCCCCCCCCGAGAATTCCTCCTGAAAATTTCCCCCTGGACAACCACCCCTCCCCAGGAAAATCCCCCCCTCCCCAAAGAATATATATTTATATACAAATATACAGTAAAGAGTGTAAAGTTCAAAACTTTTCATCCATTTTATTCATATCTTTAGTGTGATAATGCAACTCCATCATTAAGAAATTTCTTTATAACAAATTCCTTTTTCATTGAGTACAAGTGCAAAAAGTTTTATTAAATATGTAATCAAAGTATAACCACTTATCCTCCAGGTAAAGGTGGGGTAAACAGATGAACAGGTAAACAGATATTTTATGAATGTTTTAGTGTGATGGGTACTATAGTGGGTAGAGTTCATGAAATCAAAAGTGACATAATCAAAGGGATACCTGGATAAGTGAGAAAATCTGTTTACCCCACCTCTCCCTAGAGATGCACCTTTTGTGAAGGTGGGCAACTTGATTAAGGGGGGAGTGATGAACTAATTAAAAGTAACAGTTGATTCATCAAAGGGTTACCTGGATGAGTGAGATCATCTGTTTACCCCATCTTTACCTGGATATATACTTTGATCAGATTTTTCCTAAAATTTTCCCTACTTCTATTTCTAAAATTTTATGTACTTGTACTCCATGAAAATGAAATTGAGATAAAATAATTTTTGTAATGATATAAATATTCTCCAAGTTTCATCATCACTCTAAGAAATATTCATAAAATAGATAAAAAGATTTGAACTTTATACTCTTTACTTTATGTTTGATTATAAATATATATGTTCTTTACGGGGAGGGATTGTCTGGGGGGAATTGTCTTGATACCATTTCCCTGCTACCTGAATAAGCTCCCTGAATAGAAATGAGTAGACTTGGTTTTATTTTGAAGATTTAATATAATTTTCAGATATTTTAGTTGCTTAATTTGTTCTGTTAAAAAGTTAAGACCGTAGCTAAAACCTATTCAAATTTGAACCAAGAGGCATTGATATTTATGCATTGGTGGTTTTACACATGTATCAAATGCAAATCTAATGATCTTCAGTTTATGATGAAAGTATGATTCAGAAGTTTTTCTGTGTTTGTGCTGCTGTGGAAGCAGGGTAAGGAGGGGAGGCTCTGGATGTTGGTGCAGGATGCCAAAATGAGCAAGGATATGACCAACCAGACCTGGACATAGGGAGCAGGGACAAAGGTGGCACAGAACAAAACCTGCTTGTTGTTCCCATAATAATATAATGACATAGGATATGACCTGTCCTTTTTTTATTTTTCTTTTCATAGACACAGTTTTTGAACAAAAAATAATGGTCAAGAAATAATGGGTTTTAATTCTGTACAAACTATAAGGATGGAAATGTCAGAAGGAAATATCCAAAATATTACACGTTTAACTATATACTGTGCATTGTACAGGAAAACACTGTAGTGGCCTGAAGTGAAAGTGAAGTAGAGACACCACCCAATTGTCATAGGTTAAAATAGGCTTTCAAATTAAAAAGTTTAAAATGTGACGTGATGTAAAAGCATGGTCATTTATGCCTTTTGTAATGGACAACCATGAAGTCTGGGTTATTTAACTATATAGCACAATCACTTGCACTAATTTTATGTCTTAACTGCAGTTATTTCATGGTGGTAATCTTTGTATGTTCTTTGTGATTTTCAATGTTTGTCATTAATTTTTGCTGGCATTTAACCTCCAAAGCAATTAACTTCAGATATGTAAGTTTTACATTTGATTTACTGGAAAAATAATATATCCTTACAAAGAAAAACATATTGCCACCTTTTATAGAAATATGTTTTGCGGGCACTTTTTGCACACTTCATTCACATGCAATGTCTATTTTCTAAATTCTATTTTCTATTCGTGGTATGTCTTATGATCACGGTCTGTGCCCTGAATATCCCGCGGCGTAATTACTGGCAACGCGAGCCAGTTACTATAAGTTACTATATGTAACTGGCTCGCGCTGCCAGTAATTACGCCGCGGGATATTCAGGGCACAGACCGTGATCATAAGATAGCGGGAATAGAAAATAGATTTTTAGAAAATAGACATTCCATGTGAACGAAGCCTTTGACTTAGGTCTACTGTGTGTATATTAGATGTTTTTATGTAATTTTAAATATATAGAAATCTAGAGCATGGGTCTTCCAATGCATTTGAGACACAATTTTTGTTATCTTTACTTTGCCAAAAAAGTGGTATGTTTTTTTGACTTATTTTTATTTTATTCTTTAAAGAAGCAAGAGGACTCCCAGAACCAGCATCGGTTCCCTAAACATTCTACAGTGCTTCACATTGGTGAGGATGATCCCTCCAACCAGAGAGACCCTTACAGTCATAGGCTTGACAGCATGATCTCCCACATTAGTGATGTCTCAGGAAGATCAGCTGACCAAGACTTCACTCATACTGTCCTGGAAGCTGTCATCGAAGAAAGTAATGAAATGGAGAAACAATCTGACCCTAGATGTGGATCTGGGGAAGTGGGGCTGACTAACATGGAGAGAGGCATGCCTAAAGAGGAATCGGAAAATTTAAGAGAAAAACATGAGGATCAATCAGCAGAAGAGTTATCGATTAGAACCGAACACACTGATTTAGATCCATCTATCCAAAAGGATATCACACCAGGAGCACCCAGTGTTGAGAATGAAGAAAAGATGGCACTGCTTACAGGACGAGATGAGGCAGAAGATTCAGCAACTTCAGCAAACATGCCACCTGCTTCACAGTCTGAAAATGATGAAACAGACCCCAATGAAACAACTAGCCTTCTTAAATGACAAAGCAGTAATCATATTACAAATGAGGTGAAATTCTGAATCTTGATATCTTCTCGGCAGCATTAGTATGTAATACTGTATGATTTTCAAAAATGTTAAGTCACTTTTCTTTTACACGGCACCCCACTGTGTCTCAGTGTGGTTTACAGTAGGTGAATGTGTACTTGGTATATCTTATTTAGAGCCATATGTGTTCTACAGATTTTTCGGGAGATTGCAATGCATGTTTTCGAAAAGAAAAAAAAATAGAAATGATTTTAATTACACATTGTGAACCCAGTCAGTGTTTTTATTATTACAATATTTTACAGCTGTTTTCCCATTGTCTGTTTCAAAAGTGTATGTTTACAGTGTATGTTGTACACATATTTCCAAGCATTTGTACCACCCCAAAATATTTTTTACTCTGGTATAATAATGTAAAAGTTGTATTTCTGTTATCATTTCTTAACGATATAGCTACTACTGTATATAGCTATCCCATCTTTTGTTATAAAGAAATAAATTAAGACGCTTTAAATGTGGTAATATCTGTTTCAGAATTCACGTGTCATACAGATTCTTAGTATGGAGTTAACTGGTTATAAGTTGTTTTAAACACCTTTACATTATATAATTTGTTAGGTTTTGTGTAGTTTTGTACTGGTCTGTTTGTATGCACAGTCAGCAATTATATGTATACGTATTTACTCAGAAATGCTGATAATGACTAATCTGAGATTTGATCGTTTTATTGTTTGGTCTGAGCTTGGAGACAATTCATCGAAAGTTAGTCGTAGGCTTTGGAGCTGAAAAAGGGGGTTATGCTAGTGCTGAACACGGATATACCTGTAAACTATTGGTGCTTGTCAATAATCGGAGACACAACTAAGGTATTCGAAAGGGGTCCTTTCGTCTTTTATTAGTTAACTTTGTACCATCATAGGTACTTAATTTTGCCAGTAGCAGTGCATACGTAATATTTATTCATGTATGATTCGATATGCATTTATGTCCTTAACAGCCCTTTTCTGCTAATATTAGAATTAAAGCAAATTTTAAGAATGTTGAAGAAGTTCCACATCTTTACTTGCTAGGGGATTTTTCGTAAGGATAGACTCGAAAGTTGCGACCTGAATGAAAGTTTACGGGGGTTTGTACGCGCTCGTTTCAAATAAAAAATAATGTGCACTGAGATGTCATTGTTTTAAATCTTCCTTACATCTTTAAAATTGCAAGTGTAAATGTCCAAAAGTGCGTAACATCTTTTTTAGGTAATGAAAAATGTATTTCATTAAATTTTAATGGGGTGTTTGTTAGATTGGAACATGGACAGAGTGATGGTCGATGAGTTGAAGACTTCGGGATAATCGTTTTTGAGAAACGAGGTGGCACGATGGTTGGTAAGGTCCCTAAATCCAGTCTGTCTATCCAGCAAAGTAAGTCCCATACACGTACACACACATACCACGCCACCTTCCCCTACTATACCCAGACAACATGACAAACGATTACTATCTGTTCAGCCAGAGTTGAATCTTCCTAAGTCATGTTTTTTAATTTTTCAAAATCTGTTTAATTAATCGTAAGATGAGTCACTACACATAAGGTTCTTCCTTGTTTTGCAAGTTGGTCCTGCAAGGTAAATATATGTAACACACTTCAGGGAGCTTTACTAATGACACATCTTATGCTCCCCTTAAACATGACATATGTATGTACTTAGTAAATAGGTCTACATGTACAACTTTATTTGCATGATTAATATTGCAAATTTTCTCTCTTGAGGCCAAATTTTTCGCCTATTCATTTTGCAGGAAAAAAAACGATAAAATGTGAATATTTGACATGAGATTTAATATTCCACAAATGCCTATTAGAAGAACGCGTTCGTTAGACGTCAAAATAATAAATACCAATATTTATCACGCGTCTATGATATCGGGTCGTGCTACCAGGAGCAGGGTTTTTTTTAATGCCAGGTGGCGTCAGGAACGGTTATGTTGCTGACTTCTGTGTCAAATCTGCTCTAATTTATATCTGTGTGACATGAATATCTGCAAGCGTTAACATGTCCGTGAGAGGTAGCTTTCACTCACACTAGGGGGGCGTAAACATATGATATTAGTTTCGATACTTGTCCCAAAAAGTGAACATTTCAGAGTAACACAACAAAACTATCCACCTTTGAAGTATCTGTGTTGTTGTTGTCCTCGATGCCCTGTAGGCTAGAGCGCTCTTTGTACCTTTGGTACGTGAGGTGTTCCCTTTGATAACGTACTCGGCCACACTGCGCCTCTCGGGCCATGGAGAGCAGCAGCCTTCTGCACCAAGAGAATTTCCTATCCTTTAAACGCTGTAATTCGAATCATGTGCCAGGTCAAAAAGCTACAGCTTCTTCAAAGATATCATGTCGGCGCCTCCTCCGTTGTCGTGTAGTTAAAAGCGACAGAAGTGTGTGGTCGAGTACAGATTGGGGTAAGGATGCACAAAAAGGAACCCGCCGCTTCCTACGCTCTGTTTCTTCACAAGTCTGACATCCTCCGTGATACGCTTTTATTGCCAGAAAGCACCCGTTTCGATTATCGCCACCGCCCATGATTCTCGGCTTGAGTTCGGTCGGCATATCAGTGTGTTTTTACTGGTTCCATGAATGTAGGATATTATTGGACAATTTGTGAATATTTTGATGCTTCCGCCTATAAATCAGTGAAAATTTCGGCAGAGGTGTTTTTACGAATAAAGCTACCTGTGTCTGTTTTACCCCTTCGAGAACTTTTGAATGGGCAAAGAAAAAGACGTCAAAGACGAAAACAGAATCTTCTGGATTGTGTAAAAACGCGAAAGTGCTCCCAAACCGCCATCACTACTTTGTATATCAAATAGTTAACTTCTTCAGATATTTTGATTCATAGAAACCAAGGTATACAACATTTTAAAACCTGTTTAGGACTTCCATATCTGTTAACATGCCACTCTTAGGAAATGTTTCTTTTCATGGATGAATATTTTAAAAAGCCATTAAGTATCAAAGCTTGTGTGTAATTGGTTAAGAAATACAACGATATGCGAACTGTTTCTTGTGAAGGTGTACTTTTTACATTTTTATATTACCACCAAGAAAAAATATTAATTGTGAGAAAAAGCTGAATCACAACCAATTGGCACGGAGTCGTCGCTAATTTTGAAATATCTCTAAATTCTATCAGTTGGGACGATTGAATGTAGACGTTTTTGTATAAATATGTCGTGTTGTCAGAATGTTTGAAAATTCAACAAGGTTACGAATACTATTAGATAATGGCAAATGACACTCTAGAATATTTCAAATGTTGGTTTATTTTTGTCTGAATATCTGTTTCAAGACGCTCAATGAATCTTTCTCTATCTCTCTCGCTCTCTCTCTCTTTCACACACACACACACACACACACACACACACACACACCAGCCGAACCGAATGTAATGCAGGTATCATTTGTTGTATCCTCTGATTAGTTCTCAGCATCGATATTTCCCGGACAGACATTCCCGATTCTCGAGTTACCAAATCAAATGAAACATTATTTCGTTAATTAAATCACATCTGTAACTTAACACAGTGGGTTTTCTGCGTTTCCACATCTCAAAATCATTTATATAGCAGTGCATTCTTTTAAAACGCTTGGGCATCGGAATCTGAGGAGAGACTGCACGTCACTGTTAGGATCTACCGCTGTAACTAATCCAAAAGCTAAGATTTGTCAGCACCGGAATCTATCGTATTCCATTGATTGCAGTATTTGTATTATATTTTGGCCTTTCTTACAGGATCCTATACAAAAATATTTTTAAAAAATTAAACTTGAAAGAAATATCAGAAAATGTGGACATTCAAATGACTGGAAAAAAAGGAATGGGCATTAATTCTAAATTTGTAAAATGCTTGTAAGCTCAATTTGTTGTTTCATATACTTTTTCATATTTACTAATACAAATATTGTTTAAATATTTATATACCGTTTAGTTTTTTTTTTCCTATGGTATTTATAGCATTTCTAAAGCTTGGAAACATGCTGATCGTGTACAAAATTAATAATACTATGATATAATATTTATTTTTAGACTGTCAGTGACAGAATCTACATGTATATCGTCAACTGAACGCTTAGATTTGTTAGAGAGCCAGTTACTGGGTTAGTTTTGTGATCAATAGCTCATGACGGCCTATTTTTTTCAAAAAGTGTTTCCATTTTACATTGTATTATTTTATTCTGATGCGTAATAAAGTGAACCTGTTAGTAGCTGGGGTATCACAAAAAACCAACTAAAGCCAAGTAAACCTACAACCGAAGAACGCATATTTTATAACCTCCAGGCACGTTAATTGTAATAGTGTTTTTTTTTTAATCTTTAATCCAAAAGCTCAGGTAAGTTACAAAAATTAAAGGAGATTGTTGGGAACACACGCACCTAACAATTTGGTAAACAGGACTACAAGGGAAGGACGCAAAAAACTAAGTAATGCTGTCAAAATTGAAAGTAACATTATTGGAGGAACCCCCCCTTCTCCCCAAGCTGAGTGATGTTAAGGATAGAATGGAGAAAAGAACTGAAAGCATCATGGGTTCCTCTTCTCACCCAGCATCACCATTTTTTACCTTTTTACATGGCAACAGTAGACTCTTAACTTTCAAAGAAAGTAAACGTTTTTTAAACAGTTTTTATCCTAGTGCAGTTACGCATTTTAATTTTTTAAACCTAATTCTTAATTTGTATTTTGTATAACGTTTATTTTGTATATTTATCAAACTTTTCTCCAAAGGAAAATAATTTCCATTTTTTATAATTGGCTGAATAAATTCTTATCTTATCTTATACCTGTCTCTAAAGACTTTCACTGGCTGCATGTTAGACAGATAATATTATTCAAAATAAGTATAAAATAAGTTTAATTTATAAAGCTGCCACAGAGAAGAAACCACAATATATTTCAGAACTTCTTCAAGCACGCAAGCAGCGGCGATTTACTAGGAATTCCACTTAATAATCTACTTATAACACAATCTTTTTTAGACAAAAAAGGCGAACAAATCTAAGGGTGAACGGGCATTTATGATGTACAGTATGCATCAAAGTAATGCGATATTTTATCTACTGATATAAGAACTGGAACTGACTTGGAAATTTCATACTAAAAAAGAGATTTACTTTTTACACCGGTTTATAGTAACTGATACTGCACAGTTCTATTGTTAGGAATTCCCCATCCTTTAAATAAACATTTATCTGCTAACTTTTTGAAATTTTTAAATTTAAATTTTTAACAAGCAATTTGTGATTTTAGCAATTAATTGTGAGTCCTGTTGAGATTTCATTGGAATTGCGCCATGTAATGACAAATTTTTATTATAATTGTGTCATTGGCGACCATTTGCTTTTGCGAATTTATGACCTTGTTATATATATATATATATATATATTCAATGACCACAATGTTATGTATAACCTAAGACTTAGATGTGATTTAGCTCATTCATATTGACCGTCTTGATTCTTTTCTTGCAAACACTACACAAAAAGGGAAATACTGAAGTTTTTTCTGGCAGAATAGAATATGAGGCTTGACTGTTTTGTAGTTATGAAATAAATAAGTGATCATTTTAACTTTTAGCCCATAAAAATTTTCCCCGGGGTGTCATTCAGGCACCCGGATTAATCACTAAAGGTATTCATATTCAAATAAAGATTGGTTCCAAGTTCTGAATCTATTTAAAAAAAACAGTTATTTCAGTTTCTACCACCCTTTTTGTTAAACTGAAGGAATGTTCATATTTGAGTGTTTTTGACAATCGATCAGATGGCGTAGGTGTGATGTTTACAGGGGGCGTAACAACGTCTCGCCGATCCTTAATGCCTCCACCAGCCTATACCAGGCCCCAGGAACGCGGGGTCATCGTGGGTTGGTGTTAAGATCGAGCGTGCCCAAAATCTTGAAGCGGGTCATCCCCGTCTGTTCAAATAAAAATAAACGGTTACGATACGTCTCTGTTTGTTAAGCTTTCATCGAAACAACACTTATACAGTCTCCTTTTCATGAAGATGATGATATTTTATTGAAAGAGAGCGATAGCGAGGGAAAAGTCAATGTTACGCCCCCTTAGACCCTGGTAAGATCACACAGTACGGCCAACAAATATGTCACGACTAGGCATACTAGTACATTTGTGTTTTACTCTGGAAATGAAAAATGTGTACTGATTATGAACCCAAACTACAGCTTGAGCTTTCCTGATAGAAAACACATTTAAAGTACGCGATTAACCTCAAATCAAGAAGGCTTAATATGAGGCCGTTGTTGTCTTCTTAAAAGGAGAACTCTTCACCCCTACCCCCTCCACCCCCAGGGGAGTACCAGGGAAGGTGTTGATATTGCATGAAGGCATGTAGCAGATAAGATACACCATGTCTCAATGCCCTGCCTGTATATACGCTAGGGTCAGAATAAAGAACATTTATCCCGTTATTGAGCTGATCATATTGTTTACTACTGATACCTAAAGTATTATTAATTGAACTGTGTGACAAATTGTGATACAGTGTACAGCTTCTACCAAAAAACGAACACATTAACTACTATTGTACGTCCCTCCTGTTATATATTTTAATATTATACTGTTTTATCCTTTTACTTCATTACTATATGCGATTTATTTGTCTCCAGTTCCCTGGTTGATAGGAGAGGAGGAGGCTGGTGGATGGGGGGGGGGGGGGTGAAGTGGTCCGTAAGAACTGGATTAGAGGGAGATTTGTCTGTCACCATTCTAATCCGCAGACTCGACAATGGATTTATAATCGAGTAATTGGTATACGTCAGTACGACGAGTGACTGGGCAACACGAACCCTGTTATTAAAGTTAGATATTTAGCTCGGACCACCACTCTTGAAAAAGAGGGTTTGTTTGTTTTTTAAACTTTATGAAGACGAACGACATATGAACATCGATTATTATTTTATTTTACTATCTTTTCGTCATATTTTGCTGGTAGTTCTTTTATTTAGGGTTGGAACTATGTAATATTTGAGTGGATGTTTGATAAATAACTAAAATTAATATCATCCGTTTTGCTTCTCTTATCCTTACTGCTCAGTATTTATTCCATCTGTTTGATGGCACGTCCTCCCCTTGATGGTAGCTGACGTCGCTGTCTTTGTTACCATAACGAACCCTAGCAACACTCCACAGCCTCTTGTTAGAGGACATTTATGTTGAAATGTTCCTCTGACTAATCAACAGCCGCCGTCGCGTGCCTTCTGTCAGGACGGATAAATACCGGCGAACGTCAAAGATCCTGCAGTTTCTGTGCTACTCACCCTCATGGTGTTGAAAAGTAATAACTGAGCTGGTGCCTTGATTTATAAGTTAGCCACGATGTAAACAATGTTCATTAATTTTATGCAACGCATCTGCTATGTTTGTTCTACTGCTGGCATCCGTAGGATTGAAAATATGTGTTCGAAAGGCGTTCCTCTATTTAAGGTTTTCGTCACAATCTACGTTGATGCTTTAAATAATTGATATACAAAATGGCCAAATATCAACTACCTTTTTGACAATTACAGATGTGATTAAGTTGGAAAGCATTCAACACTGAAATGACGTCAAATGACTTTTTTTTAGAATCTAGGTTCTTAGGACTATCTAAACGCTTTGTGGCATATTTATAAATCTTCGTAATAGCTGTACTTGTCCTTTGATTTACTGAGTGTTGTAAGTGATACAATGTTGTAGAGAGCTGAACCCTGTATGTAATATTGATATTATTGTCAACACATAGTTCTTAAGACGTTGTCTAATCCACTTTAAGGCCTGATATCATCCCTGGGTACCTTGGTCGCTAAGAACTGTTGGTGATAAAGGTATCCCCACTATCTTCCTTCGCGGTAAATTGATACATTAGTATTCTTAAATGTACAGATATGCCAACAGAGAAAAAGTTTGCTGTCCATTTATAAAGACTAAATCTATCTTATAACAGGGAAATGTGATACTGACGAACAGCCTTTAATTTTTGTTACAATCTAAGATGTCCCCACTTTATTGTGCTACGAGTGCAGAGATTAGCGGGAAATATTTTCGGACACCAACATGATAGCACACTCTTACCACGGGGCAAAGATAGCAAATCGTAGATAAAATAACTTTGTTACAGCTTAGTTTATTGCTTAGTTTATTGCTTGTATGTATCATTTAAAATCACCTGCGCTAGACACAAATATGACAAATCTATCGTTTTATCTATCTTCCCATTTTTCTTGAGAGAGAGAGAGAGAGAGAAAGAGAGATGGGAAGACCATTTACGTATTAAAACTGAGTGTGTGATTCCCTAATTCATATTAAAATCATTTAATGTTATAACTAAAAAATACAATTTACTCTACTTTATTTGCGTTAATCGCATCTTTGTGCAAGACCAATTCACCTATTCCATTTCACCCACATTTGGAATACAAATGGTTGGTTTTATGTAAAACGCAAACCGCTGGCTAAAACTGAGCTCGTCAGTAATATATCATGCAGAATAGAATGGTAGAAGGTTTTTTTAAACATTTGGTATTGGCTGCAGCGTTGGGTTATGTAAAGATGCATTAATTTTTATTAGGTCTTTATTAAAGTAGACTGTTTTACCAGTTCAAGTATCGGAGCACATGCAAGGAAAAGAAATACATGTATAAAGTGCACGAACTTCCCTATTTGTATATCTATTTGTAATGATAAGTAATATGTTGTTATTCGCCAGTGGGGACTATAATGGTGTAAAATATCAAAATCCAGTTGTTTTATTGACTTTCAAGAAAACAGCATATTTCCCATATCTATTGGCACGCGAACAGGAGTAAACAGCGCGCACTTAACCCACATTTGCCAACTAATGATAGCAGATAAGTGCGCATCAGGAAGAAAATGAATAGAGAAAATAGTGACAGCAAGTTGTTTTCAAGAACATAAATACTAGATTGTGTCAATTTTTATCAACTACAAAACGGAAAAAGGAAGAAAAGTGACAACTGATACTTTTGAGGGGCATCGGTGGCAAGGCAATAAAAGTTCAATTACATGATTAATGAAAATTGGACCTTGTGATCTGTGACAAGAAACACTTTTTATTTTGCTCTAGGAACTTTTCTCGTCTCCTGACTGTGAGATAATTACAGTTCTGGTCAGCACTGACGACGTGGACTCCTACGCACAAAGGGGATGACACAGATCGGTGCTCTATCTTCTGTCATTTGTTTACCTGAAAACGCGAGCACGTGCCTCGACCTTCGACACCGCCTACAGCGGTACAACGCTAACAAACGGTCACGGAGAACGCTGAGTCAAGTTTTACGATGCTGTATAGACGCAGATTATTAAGTTTTGAGGAAGTACCGCTAGACGCAGTCCTTGCCATACCTCGGGTTAAAATATTAATGACTAGTTAAAGATTAAAATAAAGTTCCCGATGCTCTGAGGCTATCAGCGAATTCTGTGACAAGCCGTGCTCACTTGATGTACTTAAAACCTGTGGTATCTAAGATAACGATTCAGACTGTACTTAAATAAGTGAAAAAAAGTTGTTAAAAATGTAATGGGAAGTGTTTTGAGTCTGTGCAGGTTTTACACCAGGTTGTAAAATGGCCTGGAAAGTTTTGGCAAACGCTGGAGAACGTCTGCCGGTCCTCGTGTGACTCATCTTGCCTCTGATTTGCATAGAGCCCCGCTGGAACGCTGATTGGTTAACGCGGAGGTTAGTTCCTCCAATGTCATCTGCTAACCATATCAGTTAAGTGACAGTCAGCTGGAGAGGAATCACTTGTTGAAAACAGGCGAGCTTCCATGTGCTTAAGCATTTAGAGAACGGACTAGTAGAGGTGTCTTACAACCACCGAGAGTACTCCAGACTCTTCATTCAATGGACTTCTTACAGATGGACCATACTTCGCTGCATCATCACCATCATCATCCTAATTACTCCATGCAGAACTACAGGCTGCCCCCACACACACCGCTAGACTCTAGTATGGGCTACAAGTGGCTTGAAAAATGCAACACACGACCAGTCACAGAGTCGTCACCCAGGGGCAAGAGGGCGGAACCCAGAATCCGCCGACCCATGAACGCCTTTATGGTCTGGGCAAAGGCAGAAAGAAAGCGACTTGCTGACGAAAACCCAGACGTTCACAATGCCGATCTCAGTAAAATGTTGGGTAAGTTAGATGAATATTTCTTTTCATTACCTTTAGTTAAGGCACTTTGCGTTGATGATTTCTATGGGAATGATCGTTTTCCTTGAAAACACAGTTATAATTTTTATGATATTTGTGACGCTGTCGCTCCTTCGTGTTGTTACTTATGTAGTTGTACATTGTCTCACTACATTATAGAAAGACACTGCTGTGTTTTAGAAATAAACCATTGCTGTTGTGTGTGTGTGTGTGTGTGTGTGTGTGTGTGTGTGTGTGTGTGTGTGTGAGAGAGAGAGAGAGATAGAGAGAGAGAGAGCATTCAATATTAATAGAGAGCATAAGAGTATAATATTATAAATATTACAAGAATACTTTACTTAGTCCTCTTGATGTAGGCATGCTACACGCACCTCCCCCAAACGCGTTTTTGCAACATGTACTAACAGTGAAACAATAAAATCGAATATTTGTAGATCAACTCTTTTACTGATAATTGTTCTTGGCAAGTGCTCTTTGAATGTAAAATCTATTGAAACGCTTCACAAAACCCTGTGGTTATGAAAGTTCGTTCTGGCCTTCATACATTTCGGGACGGAATTAAACTTGTACATGTTGTCATGTGCTTTCACTAGAACTCAGATATCTGGAGATGCTATCAAAATGTTCTGACGTGAAAACTAACCTAGTTTTTCGGGGCCATTGTTTTTAGTTGAACCATGCAGGCGTCAATAGGGTTTCGCGTCCATCGATATCGTTCCTACTTATATCATGGACTATGCCAGTTGTTCCCTAACCTCCCATTACCATGATTCAAAATTTACGTGACTCCAAAAGACTGTTTATGCATACATTCCCTTGTCCACATTTTGGTCTTTATATTTTATGAGTCCCTTATCCTCGAGGCAAAATATAATGGCACCCTTGAACTCGTATATACACCAGAACGTGTAGAAATCCCAAACGTTATAAATATGTCCGGGAAACGTTGTGCACTGGCATTACTCGATCGTGCTCTCTGACAAATACCCTTCCCAGGCTACGCAATCTGATTTGCAACTTACCGATTCCGTCATAGGGAGCGATGATTAAAACACCAGGCATGAGATCGAGCTTGTTTTTAAATATCGTAAGTTTTAACGATTGTAAAATTGACAGAATAAACGCAAGAATACTGTTTGAAAAACAAACCTTGTAGAGTTACACTCTCTAATGTTATCAGAATATGAAGATAAGTCAAACACAATCACGTGGACACTTGGTAACGGTGATAGGGAGAATGTTCTGGTGTCGCCCTCTCACCGATAACTGCAGCAGACGACACGAGACAATGAGATTATCGGCTATAGATTGTCGATTAGTTATGTCAAAATAATCTCCAAACCATCACCCACGCGTCAGATTCTGTTGCGTGAATTTAAATCGTATAATTTATGTAGGTACGCGAGGAATTAAATGGTAATGAGTGATATTAGCTCAAAATCAGTAGGACAAACTTTTTTCAAATTAAGCTCAGTTGTAAAATGTGTATGCAACGTTGCTTGATGATGAAGCTTGCTATAAAAAATATCTTTCGTCTTTCTTTTCCCATTAATGCTGGATTCATCTTTCTTATATCAAAGCACCGTATCCCAGGTGAAAAAAGAAAAAAATGCTATATGTGGCTGGGATATGTGATCACTGCCTGATCGGGTAAAGAATACCCATGTCTTTAACTGCTTCGCCTACTTGCGTCTGATTAAAGTCTTGTTTTTGAAGAGTGTGAGAAAGAAACGGAGACCGTGAACACACAAACACCTAGGTCTGCTTGTGTTTTTATAATTTAATATCGATAAATTCCACACTGGGCACGGACGCGTGCTTAATACTTGGAGAAAGTACATGGGCGAAGTGTGTGTATGTTTCTTTACAGATTACAAGTATTACTATCAAAGAGAAACTTTTAGCCTCTATTTGTTTATAGAGAACGAGCACTTCCTAACCCGAAGCGTCTTTGCAAAGAGGGTACATATTCTACTGGTTTCTTTTAACATGCTTAACCAAATTGAAGTCAGCAGTTGCTGCTAGCCCAGGTTACAAAACTCTCATGAGTGCCTAGATTTAAGTACAAGATTCTTCGAATAATATGAACCAAACGTGTTGAGGCCGATGCACTGCTGCTGCATTTCCAGTGCAGTAATGAAGGCAAACGTCTGGAAAGTTTCTGAATTTTACCGCACGGTTCATTAACAACCCACAGTCAAAGTATGCTGCCGAATCTAGGCTGGGTTACAGCAGTAAGAGTTCCCCGCATAGTCTTGATGAAATCGCTACAAGTAAACTTGCACAAAAATAGTGCAGCTGTAAGTGGTTGACCAGTAATTCTCACGCGTGTTAAGGTAACAGTATGAGTGATTTATGAGGAACCTTGGGACGCTGACAGTCCTGTCAGTACCAACAGAGATACATAACTTAATCCAGCAAGCACTACTAGTCGGGGAGACAACGTCTCTTGCCGCAATAGCTCTGCTAAAGTTTGATGGACGATTTCATAAGCTTCTGTAATTGAAATTTAACCCAATGAAGCAGGAAGCATTTCGTGCCCCAAGACATTTTCCGCAGATTGTTTTCGGAACGTCCGATAACGTCGGCACCCTTATGTTGAGTCATGTAATGTTACCTTGATCTATCAGAAGACAAAACCACTGCAAGGTCATGAAAATAGTTTATTGCCCGAACTCGTCTTGATCCTAAACCAGATTTCGTATGTCGCTCGTTTTAATGTGTATTTTCTCAAGGGCGCTTTAAGCCATCACCATCGTACATGCGTGCAGGACGTCTCGAGGAACCGACGTATAAAATGCCCCTCCCGTGTTACTGTGTCATTAAAAAGAATTGTCAAGCTATTTCTGCCCAAAAACCTTTCCACCCAGTTTTTCTACATCTATTTTTATATATAATGATAATCATTCGGTGATCAGTCAAATGGCTATAACATAACACCAGCAGCTCTCATAGCAGAAATGACCTCGTTAAGTGAAGTTGCAGGACAAGCTACATTACGGGAAAAACACTCTGCCAACTACAATACACTGTGGAGGTGCTGTGCCTCCTACTGCAACATAAAATTGCTGGAAGCTAACCCGATAAAACGCTTTCCCGCGGCAGAAAACGGTGTTTCCCTAAAGACATTTATGTTAATGTGACTCAAAAGTGGTTCCACCATAGAAAGGAACATATTTATATATTATTTGTTTGTTTATTTATTTATGAGAAAAAAACATGTGAATAGGCTTAATATGAAATTATCTTCTTTTTCCGCGTATCAGTTTGTTTCTTGGTATGAATCTAAAAGAGTAATATTATTTATTGTTCTTTGAAATTTTTCGAAAGTTAAGATAAAATTAAGAAGGTTTTTAAAAAGAATTATTCGTAATAAAACTAATTTTATGTGGTATTTAAGTCGACTGTATTACAGACTGATTGATATCGCGTTTTTATTATCAAAATAAGTATTATTTTAAACAAGATCCTCTCCTAATTATTATAATGATAATTTTATTGGTGAATCAGATTGCGTGGGTATCTGTATCTGGGTTGAGGATATACACATACGTAAATTTTTACTTGTGAAAAATGTTTGCAAGTCTCATTAGTCTGCTTGTCTTCGTTGTTATCCATTTTACCTCGCTCACTTAAATATTAGTGTTATGTTGATAATGAAATAATTAACTTCTTTATTTCGGAGCAGATGCTGTGTACAAATGAAATGTTGAAGGCAAGTTATTTAAGGAGTTCACTATCGTATTGTAGGTCGCAAGTGGAAAAGTCTCCCCTTGACTGAGAAGCGCCCATTCGTGGAGGAAGCTGAACGCCTGAGGGTGCTGCACATGCAGGAGCATCCGGACTACAAGTATCGACCGCGTCGGCGGAAACATCCCAAGAGGACATGTAAAAGAATGGTTCAGGGTGCCCCAGGGTTTCAGGTCTCAACCACTGCAGTCGCTCCTGCAACCCCTAACGCAGTACCCTCGTCTGTTACTATGGCCACACCTTGCAGCATGGCAGCCACACCAAAGAAAGAACACATGAACAGTAGCTGTAACTTCCCTATTACTCCAGAGTCGTCTCCGTGTTCCAGTCCTAATCTAGACCACCCCCGACCATCATCACCTACTTACAGTAGCATGCAGGACTTCAGTAACGACGAGTATGAAGACTCCATGACCGGTCCACCATCGGGACTTCTAACCCCAGAATCCCCCATGGAGCCACGTGATGGGCACGTGTTCAAGTTTCCACCTTCTACCAGCATCAGCAACGATACCACCTCCTCCTCCATAAACGAACTCGTGAGACGATTCAGTCCTTCAGGGAACCCTTGGTTTGAAAAGCCGGTGGCCCCCACCAGTGTAAACCTGACCAACACATCAGAGCACCTCGTGACTCTTAGAGCCCTCGTGCAGCGTCGCCATCCCTCCAACATGGTCTACTCCAACATGAACTGTCGCATGGCATCCATGGTGGGGAGCGATCACACAATGTCGAGACCCTCCGCAACACAATCCCCTCCGCCATTGTGTCACATGGGTCCACCCAGCTTTCCTCAGCACCCCACACATCCGGAACCGCCTGTGCTTTCTCACTCGGGCCCGCGGGTCCTTCAGGCCGGGCTTCCCCGTTACGCTATGCCGCCCGATGACGTCCTTTTCGAGTTTTGTAAAGCTGAATCCCTCCCAGACGTGGATAGCAGTGAATTTGACAAGTATTTGAACGGACCAGGGCATGAATTTGTGAACTTTGTGTCAAATCACAATGGCTATCATTTAGCAGATGAACAAACTATGTACAACGAAGGCACTGGGTATTCCCCTTGTGCGTCTTATGAGGGACAGTACAATGTTTATGAAGGTTCCCCAGTATATAGAGAAGAGAGGAACTCGTATAGTCCAAATGGAGATTCGACTTTAATCTCTGCCATTGCTAGTGCGCAGACTATGTACTAAGGGTCTGAAGTGCGTAGAGGTAAATGTGTGAACGTGTTGTGCAATTACTGATATAACTAAATCTTACAACACACACATAATGAATCAGTGGCAATAATATTGAGGAAAGCTGTGCTTTGTCACATTGTCTTTTATGGTACTGGCAGGCCAGACCATATGTTAGGGAGTTGCACAATTACCGAATTCCATTTTAGTTTCTAATCCGGCCTTTAATATTACATCGAGTTAAGTTGCATTTCTAAAGCTTACGTCCATAGAAACCACATTTAGTTGCTTTTACTAGCATTTTATTAATTCTTCCGTCACATAGGATTAGTCTGTCCATTCCAGTACTGCCTCTGGTGCAGTGTCGTCTGCAATATTCCCGCCATTTTTATGAGTCAAGAGTAACATGTATCCCGGCTTGTAGTGTGAGTGTGATGTGTGCGGCCCTGGTGAGCCGACGGTGCATGTGTATAGGGCTAGGGTTATGTTCTGTTCTCATTAAATCTAAGAAATTGGGACCACAAAACTGAAATGAAGAAAACGTGCAAAGAGTACCGTGAGAAGTCGGGTTGAGTGCGTTTGAAAGCCGAGACTGACTTTTAAAGACGACTGAAGGAATAGTTGGCTCTGTACCAGCTTGGGAGGTTTTTTGATCGAGACTAGCAATCCATATAATTTAATTGTCTCTTGATGCAAACATTTTGATAGGAATGATTTTTTACATGCAGTACTTTTAATTGCAAGATTAGTTTTAATTGTTATTTTTGTTCCTGTTCTATGAATTTAATCTGTATTATAAAATACATTGAGGATATTCTGTAGTTTTAAGTTATTTTTATGTATATAGACATCGGTCAGAATTTATCATCAATTATAACTGGACCCATGTAGCGTCCCGGCATTCCAGGGGTTATCAAGATGTTAATCGAATTTACTTGCTTTTTTTAGGTTTGCATATTTTAGCCACGAAAAAGTGTCGATCATTTTCTGATTAATGTTAATGACGTGTTCCCCGTTTTATTTTCATCACACTTGTTTGTTGTGGAGGCGACCAAATAGCAGGTACTATAATTCTTCCCTCTGCTGACGGCAGAACATAACTTTCTACACATTTATGTATCGCAGTTGAAGTAGTTTGATTGAAGAGGTTTACAAAATGTTTGTAAACTCAGCAAAGAGAATCCAAAGAACCTCCTAGCTACCGATGTGATTTATGACCGAAGTCGTTGTGTCCGTGTACGTACATGTCGCGGGACTTGATGTATTTCACAGCCCTCCTTCAGTGCTACTGACGAATTTAGTCAGTAAAACCGCTCACTTGTGCCAAAAGCCGCAGCTTTCTCTTACCCTCGTCAGCATTTTTCATTTTCTAGACAATCCAAAATGGCCATTATGTGCCTATATTTTTCAGGACCACTATTCTTAGTGGTGATGTATTGAAACTGCTGTAGGTAGAAGTATTACTTTCTAATATTCGAGTGCACGGAATGTACACGTACTCTAGTATTGGGTCACCTCAAGAAAGGAATAAAAGCTATACTTGTTTTATTTGGTCGGGTTAGCTAATGGGGTTTCACTTAAAAAAGACCCCTTGAACGCCTTTCTCTAACGCAGCCCCACTGATTTTATTGAGAAGACCCGAGCATGGGATGTTAATTAATTCCCAGTCCGTTCTCTGTTATCTGGTATTTAATATCACGTGCGATTAACTTGTCGTGTGGACTTCCCTCCTTGTTGTTAATATGTCTTGTGTTAAACTTTTAAAATTGTTTGATAACCTGTTGTAAGTGGTCCTTAAGTTAGTTTATAAACATTTAAAGCGAGTCTAATACACTGGAGTGCGTAACTACGGTATATAAAGCTTTATTTGATTTTAATGGTACTATTTTTATATGGTGATAATGATGATACTCATTATCCAGAGCACACATTTTGTAAAAACTGATTTTGAAGATGATGAATATAATGTTTAGTAATAAATTGTAAATGTATATGTCTAAATTATTCACTAATTACTTTATTTAAATATTGTTTATCCTATCTGTTTTTGATGAAGCAGTAATAAATTGTATTTGAATATATATATTCCTTGGATTTTTTTTTCGCTTTTTCTCAGCCTCTTTAAGTGCGTGTTATTGGTGTTTTGGGTCCCGTTCCTGTTGCTTTATGCCCCAGCACAACTTGAGAAGTACAACGCAACGCAGCGGGAAAGCGTCTGGCACGGTGGATCATTGTTAGGGCGTAGTTGCAAGTTGATCAGTTTTGTTTTCAATTATAGCACTCTTATTTAGATCTAGGGTATAGAAAATATGTGCGGGAAAGTGTACATTCCCTAAAGGTCGCGAGAATCGTGTTTAAAAGAATCGTGATTTCAAATTCCTATAATAATCTGAATATGTCATGTCCATAAGTTGTTTATATATCTTTATATTCATTTTGTGATGATGTGATTAGAAAAGAAAAGGCTAACTGCCAGAAAAAACAAATGTAAACGTTCAAAATTGAAATTTCTACTTGTGATCTTTCGCGTGGTAGCTGGCCTCACAAAGCCACAAATCGTGCAAAACCATATGTGGGACCAGTCATTTCTCAAACATTTTCGGGTCGAATTCCTGCAAACTTAATCAGAATTAATGACAGTGTTAAGAGCATTGGATACGTCACGCCGTCACAGGACTCCAACATTTTACGCATGAATTTCCATAGTTCCAAAACTCGGGTTTTGTTTCTACTTGATGTTGTGCGTTTGATGGAAAGGCGCATCATAACAGTGGTGTTGACTCCTGGATCGTATGTGTTGATGTGATACTCCTAGGTCAGGAAGTCAATCCAAACCAGAAGTATCTTCACAAGTTCCCAGCCATCCACTGGATTTGTACCTTTTCCCTGGAAAAACAACTGGGTTTAATTCAAAACTGCGTTAACAAAGTCACGGCTCAAAAGGTACCGTCAAGTACCCATTGACGTCACCGGGCGTCCTAATCGCGGCAATGATTGGAAGGCGCAACGACACGACAGACGTTGCTTTCGCTGCTCAAGTTTTCTCACAGACTTCATTTGTTTTGTTTCAAATTAATTTTCGGAACAGCCGCATTTTCTAGCCCGGGTTTTTACCGAGTTGCACGGACTAGTTCCCTGTAGCTGATTAGAAAGCCGGGTTGTATTTTTGCAAGTTTTTGCAACAGCTGGAAGACTGCCAATAGAGGAGCTTTACTCCTCATGTCTTCCCAATGCAAATTGGAAGTAACGAGCTACTGGGTTTAGAAGACTAACGTTAAATTTTATAAATCAAAATAACACGAAAACGCAACCTTAGTAACCTTAGTTCAGGTCAAGCGCGTGCACAAGCCGCGAACGTTTTTAACAGGTATGCTACTAGTTTTATTCTAACCGGGTAGGACTAACTCACGCACACACACGTGCGCACACAAACATTTTCAGAATAATTATTCATGTTAAATTTAAAAAATCACTTAAAACTGAAATGATTTAGGAATGTTGCACAGTTTTGGTCTGACCGTATGTATAGGAATTTGATACCAAACATTTGTTTAAGTTTGAAGGACATAACATTAGATGCTTAAAACTAAAATGATTTCAAAAAAAAAAAATCTTTCAGAATCTTTCAAAAAATCAGATTTCTTCTTTATTAGAACACTGTAACTTATCTTATTTTACACATTTCTATAATATAATTAGCATGAAAAAACTTATTTGACAATCTTTGTTGCTTTTAAGGGTCTTTAAGTTTTTAATTTTCTACCCTACACAAACAGAGTGCTAGAAGTACATGTATTTTTCAATAAGTTACTTATTACACAGATAAACAAAGATAGGCATTTGTATTTCAGACCCATTTTCCAAGAAGACTTATTTTTAATACAGACATACACTTTTCAGTGCTCTGCTCAAATTTTAAGTCAACAGTAAACCTAGGTTGGTTTTTTTCAATTTAATTATATTAGTTTTAATATTAAAAAATGCCTGTGACCTGTCCCAGTGCGCGTAGATCGAGATCATGTCCTTTAGTGCCGCGGTAGAATTTTGTTTAAATTTCCATGCTTATTTCTTCATGTTTGGCGAAGTAATTCAAAGCCAGTCCCCGACACCGTGTCCCGTACGCCAGAGATTAGCGGGGAGCGTGAGTGGAATGTGACTAGTGGTAAATCAAGATGGTTACTCGGTCACATGCTAATACACATGCCCTAATGATCTAACAATTAGTATCGATACATGGCGCGGCATGTCTCATGTCAACACCACAGGAATATATGAATATTTAAATGTTTGCCGAATATCTAAACCAACTATTTGCTTGCTACTTGGGTGTAATCAGTTGATTGTATAACACAGCGCTGCATACCTGCATTGTTAGTACATTACGTGTGCTGACGGGACATAACACAGAGAGATGAAGGTGATTCAGTGTCACGACAAGCCACCCTATCTACCATCACCGCCATGCACTGATAAAATGAGCCACGGCTTCACCGATGGCTGCTGTTTGCTGTCAGATCTGATGTCGACATCGATGTTTGTATTTACCAATCTATCTTGTGTATAAACCCCAATGTTTTGGTCTGTCAAGTGTGTAAGAAAGAGGCCTGTTTACAAAACTAGCAATCCATTGAATTTTAATTCGTGGAATAGCACTCCATCTACAGCTGAACGTAGACATTTGACTCTGTGAATAGTGAACAGCACGTTCCGTTACATTTATGACTTGATAAGCAGAGGTATGACCATGTATCATAACATCAGCTTATCGTTCCACTTCCCCCTTTTCTGTCTTTTGAAACAACCGTTTTCGCAGTTAACAAAATCACAGCTAAAAATTGCCATAAGTGCAGCCTAATGATTTTTCAATTCTGACGAAATCAACTTTGCGAACTTTTCATACATTTTTGCACGACACTGTAACACTGTGAAAATTGTGGTTAACCATTACTAATTTTTCCATGTTATTCACAAGTTTTGAATTTCAGTTGAAAAATATCTTTCTTGGTTGTACACTTTTTAACTTTGTTTCTATATTTAAAACACCCCCTCTCATGTTTTAATTTTTCTCCTACTGTATTGTAAGTGTGTTTTTCAATTAAAGAAATCTTCTCAGTGTTTTTGTTGAAGTCCATTGATGACTGTTGAAAACTGAAACTGAAACTGATTCTGAAAATCAGATTTTCTTAAATCCGCACAAAGAGTGCTTCATCTGTGATTGATCAGCTTCACATCGATACTAATAAACAACACAGGCAAATACCACTTCCAAAACTTCCTTTCTGAGTTCACTTCACAGTGAACTTCTCTAATGATATGGAACTTTAATAAATACCAACTTTTAAAAAATTAACTAGGATTAGGGAATAGGGCGAAATTTATCATTGTTCCAACTTCACTAAAGGCGATAAATGCGATTGGTTGGTTAGTAACTTGGATGCATGTGGAAACAAAGTTATCCTGATAGATAGAGCTAAGTTTTATATACCTGCTGATAGAGGATAACAGAGCGCTGATATTCAGAGCACAGGGCGATATCACACCTCACGCACACCAGGCATTAACATACCATTTCATGATATGCTGAAATAATACCAAATCATCACCTTCAACTGTCTCCTTAAAACTGTCGCATTTAAAGGTCATTTTACGTGCAGTCTTTTAGAAAACTAATTTTCTGTATTTTCATCTGAGTAACCGAGCATTTGCATTTAATTTAAACTATATTTCAGTCAGACTTTTAAAATGGCAGGAGCTGCCCATGTGACAAGGTCATGTCGGAGCTGGCGGCGGAATTATAAAGAATTAGCTCATAATCACATGTGCTGTCAACAATGGGCACAAGTCCAGCATCATACACTGCGCAGAGCTGCGGTTGGAGCACCTGGGCTGGTGTGAAGCGTCTCCTCCCTATAGATAAAAAGTTTTGTTGGTTGGCCCACTGTCAACTGCAGCAGGAGACTGATGAAGGTGGTTTTGTCACCCTCAAGAACATCCACTCACCTCTCACCAGACTACAGGGACCTAAGTCGCCCCAGGCGAACCATACATTACCCATACATTATTATAATATTCAATATCAAAAGAACTGTCACATCTGTGTCGCGCGGGGCTGGTTAACAACAATAATAATCATAAAATACTATTGTCAAAATCATATAAATACGTTGTAATTTAGGATGATGTATCAAACAAAGATATTGCACGAAATGAGGTAAACATGTTCATATGCGATACTTCTGTTTATACACGGATCATAACATCTTTTTAAAAAGATCCGGGTTCTTTTTTGACGTTCTCTCTCCGTTGACATCATCCAACAGCTCCAGGGGTTGCTTTACTTCTGCTTCCATGATTAAAGTGAAGTTGAATAATAACAAATAACAATTAAACTGAAGACGAATATGAGAACCGAGTACTTGAATTGTTTAAACCTAGATATTGCCATCAAAACACGACCTCCAGCCACGTCTTGAACTAAAAGATGTTCCAATGAAAACTCACAAAATATCTAGGATTATGTTTAATTAGAGATCTAGGGAGAAGTTTGTCATAAAAAACTTTTCTAAAGATAGTCTAGAAGACTATTCAAATGTAAGTTTAATATGCATTCTGTAAACGAACATCATTTCCTTGTGTTTATATTTAGAACCACCGCAAGTTTCATTTGCTCCTTTAAGCACTCATTCGCTCTACTGCTTCCTCATATCGAATTTTAAACTATTTTTTCTGCTATTTTGTCGATAACAATAAATTTACACTACTGTCTTTGACTTTTGAACTCATTTAGATTAAATGTCCGCATCTCGATACACGTGTGGGCCACACAGAAAATATCAAATTTATAATTGAATGAAGGCGTATAGACGCAGCGTTATCACCCGCAGCACACCTCACGCGGGCGCGTCTTCAACTGGTGGGCGCAATTTTACGCGTGGACTGTGGTCCAGCGTTTTCGCGGATGTGAATCAGCGTGCACTGATTTTATTTAAGCGGTTGTGATATCAACATCAGCTCACGATAAGTTAAACCCTTGGCAGTGATCAATTAATTACATT